GACTTTTGTCGTCATGGGCAGTGAATGAGTTAAAAGGCTCATGTTTTCACTTGCTCACCGGCTATTGATATGATTTACTTTTTAAAATTTACAGATCAGATCCATGTAGAGGCAACTCAAGTGAATATAAAAGAAAAATACATGAAATTAGGATAATATTAATAATATTGTATAAGTTTCTATGGGGACAATAAAATGATGGACTCAAAACAAGATAAAGTTTAATAAAGTCAAACAACCATCAAAGCAAATTTCATTCTCATCACATAGTTGTTCCTATAACAAAAACCTTGTGTGACTAGACTCAAACTTCAGCCTTGGCCGTCTCCCTCTGCCCCACAGTGCCCAGTATAGTTCCCATGATGCACCAGCTGAGCCGGGCCCCAGACTCCATCACGTTGTCCTGGCCGCAGCCCGATCGGCCCAACGGAGACATCCTCGAATACCAGCTCCGATACTTCGACAAGGTGAGAGGGCTGGAGGGGACAACTGTACATTTGCACTGTTATTGTGTACTGTTGTTCATCCAATTGCTTTTTCCATTAGTTTAAGTCACTAAAATGTATCCTGCTAAATATTATACATTAAGTGTGGAAATGACTTGTTCTTTTGAGCTAATTGTATTTTTGTGTAAATAAAACCCTGTAAACTATGCCTCTAAAGTACTAAAACTTGTATTACCAAAAATGTGATGGAAAAAATATTAAGTATGGGTACCACTGTGGTTAAGCAGGGATTATCTGTGGATATGGACCCTTGTCAATATGCAGAGACAAAAGAGAAGTTGTCCAAGGTATTAAAGTAAAAATGCATTTTGACTTTTTTTCCTCGTGTGGATCCTCATCGGACTCTTTGCTCCACTGATGTTTTAACCCTGCAGCCGTTACCTTTCTCTGAATCACTGCTCTACTGCCTGTAAATGTATTCCTGTACTCCTAGTATCGCTGGGACGCCTTTGGACTTGTTTTGGGCCGTAATAGCCGTAATAAAATCTGATTTCTTACATTTCTATGTTTCAGATTGTCAGAATCCAGTTTGTGTGACATAATGACTCGACAATAGGAGTATAGGTTTTGACATATACTATAAACATTATTGATAAATGCAGAATCTATTAATCTACACAGTTCTATATGGAGTTTTTGTGTCTGTCTGTGGCTCACATATATCTATTTTAGAATTCATTTTCAAATGTTCTTTGTGTAATCAGCGTGCGTATGCGTTCACAGCACCACATATGTTCATAATGTCAGCATTCCACTAAAGGAAACTATAATGATATAGATATATATTAATTTTGCATTTTATTATTATTATTTTATTCTATAATTTGAAGAACAATAATACTCAAGGGTAAATAAAAAGTTAGGGTGTCAGCAAAGCAAGGACTTCATCATGAGCGGTTTCTTTGTGTTCATAAAGTTTCCCTCTGTGAAGTGATTCTGAACGTTTCGGGTGAAAGAATGTTGGTAAACAAAACTGGCATGTCGCACTGCGTTTTCATCTCTGTCAAAACATTACTGTGATTCACTGCATGTCCTGCCAGCTCTGTTTTGCTTCAGTTCTTTCTCCATTCTCTGTTTTAAAAACCGCCTTTAGGGAAATTACAGACAAATTCACTACTTTTACTACTGGAGATTACTGCGATTGTAAATCAAGTCAGTTAAGAGAATAAACTAAAGGAAATACTGTATATGTTGCATTTTTATTTACTTGTTGAAATGAAACATTTAGTTTTGGCATGGATATTTAAATGAATCAGTATTGACTTGACTTGACTTTGGTTGTATGAAATGTTGAATTGTCTGCCTGATGTGAAAAAAAATTGCAAAGACATTGAGACAAAGTGTATTGTACCGTGTGTGTTGTTTGGCTCAGGGCTCAGACGTGGACACCGCACACACTGTCTTCAGTGAGACCAACACGGTGAGCGTAGGCGCTCTGCTCCCTGGATCCATCTACGCCTTCCAGATCCGTGCACGCAACGAGCGCGGCTTTGGCCCCTACAGCACCACCATCTACTTCACCACGCTGCCTCTTGGTATGCACTCTCACACTGTTTCAAAATCTCAAATATTATTATTTAGCTCTGTATTTCAGACTTGATTTTGTCGTAATTTAAATTTATGTATGTGTTCTATTCCACATAACAGTATTAAGAATAAAATTATGTGGACTACAGTTATTCCACATTATACAGCATATATCTGTAATTCCCAAATAGATCTAATTAAAATTTAAAGCCTAGAATGCGTCAGGGTTTATTTTTTCCTCGTTGGCTGACATCTTATGAATGTTAAAGGGAACTTCTCTCCTCACACTGTTTCCAGAGGAGCACTCCCAGCAGATCCAGCACAGACTACCGCTGCTCGTGGGCTCCGTGATGGGAGGAGCCGCCTTTCTGCTCGTGGTCATCGCCATCATCGTAGTCCTGGTGTTCCGCAGGTGAGGAAGGGAACGATACATTGTCATACTGTGATATCAAAAAGTTACAATAACTATGGGAGGATAGATTTTCTATAATAAACATTATGTAGAACATCCACTCAAACAAGCTGCATGAATGTAAACTATGATGAAAAATAAAAAAAACAGATCTAAAAGCATGAACAATTTGCAGTTACGGAGTGGTTGTGTCTGTCATGCCACAAATGTAAAAAACCATATCTTAAGGTCTTTCAAACCAATTATGTCTAGATCTACTCAGTAAGTAGAAGTAGAAGACTTATTATGCCCATCCCTTTACAGTGAAGAGTAGAACAAATTGGTCCTCAAAGGCCGGTGTGGCTACAGGTTTTCCTTCCAACCAAGCAGGAGCACACAAACTCCATCCATTTCCTTATGTGAGTCCGATCTGAACCAAGCCCCAGTGATCAAAAATAGCGTCCTATACAAATCAAAGGCTTGTGCTCAGTAGCCCATGGGGACGGAAAAAATTGCAGAACTCGACCATATTTGGGCATCGTCTGGTCTTCACGGTTCTGGGCAGTGGACGAGCTCCCATGATGCATTGCGCCAAATATTTGTGTGGCTCTCATGCACGTGCATAGAGGGGCTCGGCAGCGCTTTGACCAATCAGAGCTGCTGATCAGAGCGGAGCTAGAGAGAAGTTCGAGTGGGATCCAAACAAGCAGAATTTGTTGCATTAAAGTGTGGATTTAAAGAAAAACGAGAAGGATTTAAGAAGAAATAAAGTTCAGAATGACTAGGGACACTAAAATCCCCATACAATGCGACCTTTATGAAAGCTGTAGCTGAGGTTGAGCTGCTTTAGTTTACATTGAGATCTATGGGACATTTTTCTGAGTAGCCCATGTGAATTTAGTCTGCAGTACCACGGGTGCCCCCTGTGTCCATGGGTGGGACAGCTATAAGCTAGTAATACCCTATCCAGTTATTATCATAGATCCATGGTCTTAACCTGGAGAAATGGCTCTGGAGTCTGATATGCTCCTGCTTGATTGGAAGGAAAACCTGCAGCCACACTGGCCCTTTCTGGAACCACCCTTTCTTTTGACTTATTTATACTTAGATGTTTTGTTATGTTTTCAGTAAGAGACGAGAAAGTCCATACAGCGATCGACTGCAGAGATATATGAGTAACAAAGGTTGGTAACAAACTTGAAGCTTCTGAGCTTTATGATAAATGCTAAAAAATAAGTCTCACCCATCAACATTCCCCTTTGACTTTAGGTGGAGTTAAATATTACGTGGACCCGTCGACTTACGAAGACCCAAGTGAAGCTGTGAAAGAATTCGCCCGAGAGATTGACCCAACACATCTGAAGATCGAGGAGGTGATTGGAGCAGGTAAATGTTGCAAAGTTTGAGAGGAGCAGCATTTCAGAAATGTTAATGTGATCGTAAAAGTCCTGTATTCTGCTAAAGTGAACTTTTTAGTGATCAGGGAAAGTGTTCCTGACTGCTTTTGCTGCAAGGACAAACCAGGACATTCAAATGAACCTGAACATCCTCCAGATTAACACTTAAATACTGAAGGCTCTTTATTGCTCCAGTCCTTGATTTTCACACAGTGAAAGGAGGAAGAGCTTTTTTAAACCCAACCAACTTATTCATATCTGTCACAAAGCCTTTGAAGCGTCATCATTATTCAGCTTTTTGACTCACTCAACTGAATCATGATTGTAAATGTGTGTTTGCAGAAGGTGAAACATAATTAAAATAACGTAGTTGAATGGCACAATCATAAACAAAGGATTGAAAATATTGTAAAGTTAATTTTAAAGAATTCTGCTTGAACACGGAAGTGTGAAAAAGGTCTATTGAACTCCGTCTCACTACTGCTCATGATGATCACCTCTGAATCGGACTCCTCGGAATCTGTGGTGGCCTCCTGAGCTGTGAAATACCAGATCAGATATGGACAATTATATTAAATCAATGAACCAATACCAGAGTGCTCCTCCAGGTTGGCAATTAGTCTCGGGTTAACTCACAACAGGTCATGAAATCTTCAACTGTACAAATGTACACTATGATGCGTTGGTACGCTTTCCCAACTGCCTCCTTGTAGTCTTTTACAGAGAATGGGGTGTTTGTTCCTGGTATATTTACTATCTTTGTACCATCAGGATACACCAGAAAGTGGGGACCAGGAGGTAAGTTTTTGTTGAAGGCCTTCAATTTTTGCAGTGCCGCATTTTGCAATTCTTTGGCATCTGAGCTTGGTTTGAGTGAAAGGGGGAGTGTCATTCCTCTCATAGGACTCAAGACTCCATCTTTCAGTCGCATAAGGCCTACCGAAATCTACAGAGAAACAACAGAAGAAGGCTTCTGTAAAGCAGCCCACTGACTTACAACATTTATATTACACACTACGAATACATGGCAAGGTTGACGACCAAACAAGCTCATTAACGTACAAACACAAATTGAAGTTACCTTCACAAGGTTTTCTTTCAGCGGTTCTTTTTTCTTTTTGAAACTTAATTGCCTCTCCTTCTCTTTTGATATCCTGAAATTCCGGAATGACTCCAGTGCACCCTCTTCTTTTATGCCTCCTGCATCAAACAGAGGCAATCAACTCTTATTAAAGCGACTTTAAGAATAAATAAGAAATCTGAGACAGTTATAATAAAGAACACATATGTCTCAAGTTACATATAGCAAAATTGTAACATTACCCTGACTTGTGCTTGGTTTTTGGACATCACGCAGGAATGTTATATTTTTTCCACACGAACTACAGAATGTCGTTTCGGGGTTTATTCCCGAACCGCAAAAAGGACAATACATTGTAATCTGTAAAGTGGGACACTGATCATGTCACGAAGGTCCAACGGACGTTTCTGCATTAAACTTTGTAACATTAGCGCACTGCCCAAGTCATGGATGGCAAGTTACAGCGTTACAAGTTGAACCTAACAATAGTGATTATTTATGCCAGTTAGAAAGTGACATCGACCATGGTTACAAAGCAATATCTTACTATAACTTACTTTTCCAACTTCAAATCCTCTTCCACTAGCGTCCATAACATGCCGGTCCGTCAACTATTGCAGTCCTACGGTCACTTCCGTTTTCTCCGGTCACTTCCGTTGTGACTTTCGTTAAGTTGTTGTGTTGTGGCTTTCGTTAAGTTGTTGTGTTGTGACTTTCGTTAAGTTGTTGTGTTGTGACTTTTGTTAAGTTGTTGTGTTGTGACTTTCGTTAAGTTGTTGTGTTGTGACTTTCGTTAAGTTGTTGTGTTGTGACTTTTGTTAAGTTGTTGTGTTGTGCTTTCTTTAAGCTGTTGTGTTGTGGCTCAAAGTTGTTGTGTTGTGGCGTTTGCATTTGTTGTGGCATTTGTATTTGTTGTGACCACTCTCGGCCACCGTAGGAACGGTCTCTGGACGTCCTTCACCTGCAGATTATGTGAAGATATTGCCTACAGTGACCACTGCATCCTTGAAGTAGCCAGAAATAATGTTGTTTGATTGATTCTGTAAAACTTTCCTGTTTAAGCCCCAGACTGCGGTCGTAGGACGCAGGGAGGAGCTGTCTTTTTATTTATTTATGTTAAATTCAATTTACATATATACAACGTTTAAATCAAACGACTTCTTATTTCGACATAGTAACAAATAATGTGAGCAATATGTTTTTATAATAAATCAAAGGAAAATGAGCCATCGAGACATTCCAATCCAATCTGCATGATTCCAATCCAATCATCGTCTGACCAGACGATGGCGCTGAGAGGGGTCCACACGGAGCGAGTGTTTCCACGGCTGAAATTATGCGCTTTCTACGTGTTGAGTACGGGGTTTTATTCATGCATCTATAATGGGTTTAACTCCATTTTCAAAGACCCTCACTGTTATCTGCGGAGTTATTTCTCCGGATTGTTGCTAAAAGAATCGTGGGCTTTATTTTGTCACAATAAAATAATCAGACATGGTACTTATTCCCTGTATGTCTCTGTGTTCTTGCTCATACGCCAACAACTTTACCCGCACGCTCGCTCCATCAGCTCACCCCCGCGTGCACGCAAACACGCAAAAAATGCACTGATCGCAATTCGGGCGTTCTGCTCTCCCAAAATTCCATCCACTGAGCGGCGCTGTGATCAAAAAATGACACCGTTTGTTGCCCAGTTCACTTCCGGTTGATTTCATACAATGGCGAATATGGCTCACGAAAACAACAAACGATTGACAGTGCCTGAATTGCGTGAAAGGTTGAAGCGAAAGGGTATTTGCAGTGTGGGAAAACGAAAGGAGGAATTGTTGTTGCTAGTTCAACGAGCGGATGGTGTTTATGAAGATTTAGAAGAAGATGACAGCGAGCAGAGTGAACGAAAACGGCTGTGTGTGCGAGTGACAGATGGTAACAATGAGAATGAAGTTCAGCTAAGAGGGAAGAATGTGAATTGGACGGATGATTTGCGCGATATGCCACTAGTTAGAGACGGGAATGTATTTGCATACAGAAAATGACGAAAACACTCAACCATTTAGAGAAAATGCGCCGGGCAGAGAGAACCGGAAGTTGCGAAGGCAAGTGTTACCCATAATGCAACGCAAAATTCAGTCGCTCCCCCGCCCATCGGATGGAATTTTGGGAGAGCAGAACGCCCGAATTCCAAAAGGGTATTATTGTCAGTGCCCGTGACTGTGGTTCTCCTGCCTCTGTCTGTGGTTCTCCTGCCTCTGTCTGCGGACCTCCCTAACTCACTGTCCTGTCATCGCGAACGGTCTCTCTGTCAGTCACAATATCATTCAGTGCATTTCTGGTGCATCCATCGATAGCCGCGATACTGACCAGATGTCACCAGTTGATGCTCAAGGACTTTGAACAGCCGCATGTGTTTTATTATTAATCTTCCACAGTCCGTTTAGGATAAACTAAATAGAGGCTTCTGAAGCGGATTCTAATCATAAACGGAGAGACCGTTTGCATTTTAACGCGATTACTACCAAAACATTATTGCTGCTACTTCATGGATGTGGTCACTGTCTGTAGGAAAAATCTTCACATAATCTGCAGGTAGAGGATGACCCATGGTCATGGATCTATAACAGGGATGACCAGAGACCGTTCCAGACAACAACACATACGAGTTTTCAACTGCACATGCGCAGTTGAAAACTCGTAATTTTGACTTTTAAAGTCGAAATTTTGAGTTTTAAAGTCGTAATTTTGACTTTTAAAGTCGAAATTTAGACTTTTAAAGTCGAAATTTTGAGTTTTAAAGTCAAATTTTGACTTTCTGTAGGCTTTTTTTTACATGGCGGAAACGGGCTTCCATTGCTGGGTTTATGATTCATTGTTTTTTGAGCCCCTTGATGCCCCTTTTGAGAATTCCAAATAGTAAGACTTTATTCTTTTTCCCACTTCGTTCATAATGGTCTCAATCCCCTGCTCCGTGAAGTTATTTTTCCTTAGCCGTTTACTCACTAACCAGACCCTGCGCCGTATACGTAAATACGCATATGTTTTGCCTCATTCACCTCTGGCAAAGCATGCGGGTTTTCCTTAGTTTTGTGCATAGCAAGCAAAATACGTGAGCAACAATGAAAAGAGTAATATGACCAAAAAAATGATTTTAAACATTTTGTATTTTTTTTTACTAACCATAACCGACAGGGTTGAGCCAAAGTAGCGGATGAAATCAAACTCTGCGTTGCCATGGCCACAACACGCACGTCAGAGACGCCGACGTAAAAAAAAAATGAAGGCTTTTAATTTAGCCCAGTGGAAGTTGTCAGTGAGTGCATCATAGATTTGCTCTGTGGTCAAAAGATAAAAGTAATTGAAGTTTCGCATCAGGGCGCCTTAATTTCCACCCACAATGCAAATCAGCTTTAAATATAACATCCGACCGGCATTTAAACGGTTGATCGCCACGGCGACGTGGGTAAGGTCAACCCGCCAATGTAAACCGCGGTTCGGGAGTCTGGGGTTCGAGTCCCACGGTCAGCACTCTGAACCGAGATAGTCTCCGAATGTCCACACTATACCCTATATAGTGCACTATATAGTGGTCACGCCATTTTGTAGGGGTGTCCGAATGTCCAGAGAGAAAAAGTAGTGCACTGGAATTTTCCCACAATGCATCTCGAAAATGTAGTGAACAGCAGTGGTCACTATACGGAAGTAAAATGGCGGAGGCACAGAGAGACGTGTTGGAACAGGAGCGGGACATGAGCTATAAATGTGAGTTTTTGATCATCATAAATATGGAAATGTGTAAACCGTGATATATTGTTGACGATAAGCTGCCAAAATACACATTTGAAGTCAGAATACCATTGCCTTTTAATGCGAAACAACGTACCAATGTTATGCCGCAAAAAATGTTAGCATTTTTGCGTATCATAACATTAACATCTCAAGCTAACGCTACAGAAACGGGTCACTGGTGGTCAGTCATTAATGTTATTAAAGCACTTGTGTTATACGTGTAGCATTTATTGTGTTAAATGTTTTTCTAAAGGGACAGACACTGATGTGGAGAGACTCATCCGACTACGGATGAAAAACGGCGGCCTGTTCTCAGGTTTGTTTCTTTGAAGCTTTGTGTGTAATTTGTGAAGCATATATTACATAAAACTCACTGTTTTAAGGAGCTCAGACAGCCACGGACAGGGACAGAAGGAGGGGAGCCTATATGCATATCGACATACAATGATGAACACTATTTACACAAAAAAAATTTAATCAACTAGACATTTGTAAAGAACTATACATACATTCAGCAATTTCTTTTTAGATATTTACATATTCAATTGTTTTTGTTTTTATTTAAATAGGCCAAAACACAGATTATTCAAACATTTAATTAATAGTCGTGGTCCCGAAGAGCTGGTTCCCTTGGGGCGGAAAGTGCTGCTGCCATCCGTCCACACAGCTCCTGTCCACACAGCTCCTGGCCACACTGCTCCTGTCCACACAGCTCCTGTCCACACAGCTCCTGTCCACACAGCTCCTGTCCACACAGCTCCTGTCCACACTGCTCCTGGCCACACTGCTCCTGTCCACACAGCTCCTGTCCACACAGCTCCTGGCCACACTGCTCCTGTCCACACTGCTCCTGTCCACACAGCTCCTGTCCACACAGCTCCTGTCCACGCAGCTCCTGTCCACACTGCTGATCAGGCTGGTGCTGCTGATGCTGGTCCTGTCCACACAGCTCCTGTCCACACTGCTGATCAGGCTGGTGCTGCTGATGCTGGTCCTGCTCATCATCAGGCCCTGGCTCCTCTTCCACTGGCTCCCAGAGATCACCATCGCTGACGCAGATGTTGTGCAGGATGGCGCAACAGGCAGTCACCTGGACTGCAAAGGTGGGTTGGACTTCCAGTGCCTTAAAAAAAATTGATCGCCATCTTGCTTTCATCATGTCAAACGCTCTCTCTATTACAGATCGTGCCCGTGCATGGTGCCGGTTGAAGCGGGCTTCCACTGGGCTCCAAACAGGCTCTCTGTATGGAGGGAGGAGTGTGATGGGCTGACGGAGGCAAGGGTAACCCCCATCCCCAAGGAGGACGTGTCCATTTGGGGGATAGAGCCGGTGGACGTAGAGGGGGCTGTTTTTAAGCACTCGAGAATCGTGCACAGATCCGGGGTAGCCAACAAACAAATCAATAAATAAGCCACGGTGATTACACACAGCCTGCATTTGAATGGAATAAAACAATTTCCTGTTAAAATAACACTGTGCATTCTCTTGAAGGGGCTTTACTCTGATGTGGCAGCCGTCGATGCTCCCCACAACATTATTGAGAGCAGCTGATCCAGCCAGCAACTGAAACCCAGCTGCAACTTGGGGAAGTTCCTCCAGGGAAGGGAAATGAATTATTTGGCCACGCATTTGAAGGATCTGGTTGGCCACCCTGTGGATCACATCGTGGACTGTGGACTGGGGCATGTCAAATGCCCTGGCGACAACACGGTACGCGGTGCCACTGGCCAACCAAAAGAGGAAGACCAAAACCTCCATGTCCTGGCTCCAGCCCTGGTGATGAGCACTCCTCAGGTGGCTAACCAGACGGGTGATGGTGGTTCGAGTGAGGCGAAAATCGGGGCGAAGGTCAGACTGGCCATTTAAGTACATGCTGAGTAGGGGTACATGGTGGTTCAGTCGGCAGTACACCGGTGGTTCACCCTAAAACAAAACAAAAATTCTCTTAAACTTAATATGATACTTCTAGATTCATTTTTTAATTCTGTATCTGCACTTTTAGTTATGAGTGCAGACACAGGAATAAGTACTCATTTTTCATTTTGAGATTTAAAAATGTAAATAAAAATGAAGAGTATATAGCTGAAGTCATGTTCTTTTGTGCCCTGGCATTGATTTTGCCAAATGTATTGTGTGTTGCAGGGAGCTGGAGCTGCCCTGAGACAACTGAAGTAGAAACCCTCACTACATCACTCGCACCTAATAACACACAAAAAAATCACAGAAGCCCTGTGCCCCATGGCCAAGCAAATTCTATTATTGTTTAATGATCAAGTACTCATTTTTCATTTAGAAAAAATGAGTACTTAATCCATTTTCCCTTGCTATGGTTTTGTGTTCTTTCAACCAATAAAATATTTTAATGTTCTTGCATTTTAAGTGAGTGTGTCTATACAATGTGTTTTTTTTGTTGAAATATGTCTAAATGTATATGACTAATGTGTTTCTCATTGACTGAGAATAGTATTTTGAATTAGTAAGTACACCAAAAGTACTATAATTTACCCAGTAGATGGTGCTAATGCTATATAGACAAAGGACGAATACAATACTTACACGACGCCCTGCTAATGAACGAAGAGCCATTCTCCTCCTCCGCCTCATCGCCTGTCTTCGCCTTCTCTCTGTTCGGCGGTGTTTAATTCGCATTATGATAACTTGTATAATAGTTATGAAAAACACCGCAAAATTCAGTGGAGGTGCCGTTTCACCGGTGTTAGAGGAGCCGGTCAGGTGGCGGGAATATGAAAAACGTCAACCAAAATTCATAAATATGAATATAAATTGTAAAAACATTTTATACATGTATATTAGACAAATATTGATATTTTAATATACTTTTATTTATATATAAAATTATATTGATCCAATGACATGTGACAGGGGTGTGATGTGGGCCGCGGCTAAAAATAGTGTGCAGCTGTCCGAATCGCCAACAGAATGAGTGCACTGACTCACTCACTCAGTCGCTATATAGTCCCGAACTATATAGTGAGTGAGTGGATAGGGTATAGTGTGGACATTCGGATACAGCCCTTGATTGGCGTTGACACCCTCACGGGGGCGGGGTCGTGAGAAGAGGGCTTCTCCTACACTGTGAACACTGGAGCTCTAGTCGGTGGTAGGAGCTGGCACCGAGATGGTTGTCCTAGAGCAGGTTGAAATATACCGAGGGAGGCATTTTTTTTTGTGGATCCAAAAGCACACATGTGCGTGCGGTGATCTTGGTGATTGCTAGCCACCGACTTCATCCCAATCAGATTGACAGGACCGTTTTCAACAGGACCTACTCACTATTCTTTCAGAGCAGAGCAAGCGCGGTAGTTAGAACGGGAGCCAAACGAGCAGCGTTTGTGGCCCTAAAGTGTAGATTTCAAGAAAAACAAAGGATTTAAGAGGGAACAAATTCAGGATGACAAAGGGCACTAAAATCCCCACAAAATCTGAGCTTTATGAAAGCTGGAGATGCCAGCTGAGGTCGAGCTGTATGACATTGAGTTAATGTAATGTATCCATCTACTTTTATTTTTACTGTTTTACAACAACCTGCTCAGGGACTACAGGTGTAAATTACCACTGCTGCTATAACCTGGTACAATGCATCTCTCTTTCTGGCTAATGTTTATTGTACACTGTCCCTGTAAAAATAAAAACCATTCCATACCAGTTCTATGAGGAAGAGGTAGTCCACGTGAATTTACTCTTGTTTAGTCTGCAGTATCGCGAGAATCCCCGTGCACATGGGTCTTTCAGCACCAAGCGAGTAATGCAAGCACTCACAAAAAGGATGTTTGGCTGTAGTAATTAAAATTAACTCAAAAGTAGTAGTTCTTAGCTAACAATGTCAACTTTCAGCGAGAACTAGTTAAAAACAGAAATATATACACGGTGTATTCAGGTAATTAATTAATTGAGTGGGAACAGTGTACATCTAGATTTACTCATACCATTTACATGATTTATTGTCATAGCACCAACACCTGAAAAAAATCAACCCTTGTTGATTGAAAACACAATGTATGGGCGAAGCAGTGACGCTACCCAGAATGCTTTGCATGGAAAAATATAAAGTTCTGAAAAATTATACACTTGAGCATTAATTTTGAGAGTAAATATGAAGCAACGTCTAAAGCAAAATACGTGAGCAACAATATGAATACACTAATTTGACCAAAGAAATCATTTTAAACATTTTCCTTTTTTTTTTTACCAACCATAACCGACATGGTCAAGCCAAATTACAAGTTTAAATACAACTCTGCGTTTCCATGACAACGGCACGCACGTCAGAGACGCCAAAGTTGAAAAGTTGAGGGATTTTAATTTAGCCCAGTGGAAGTAGTCAGTGAGTCAGTAGATACATTTGCTCTGTGGTCAAAAGACAAAAGTATATTGACGTTTTGCATCAGGGCGCCATATTTGCTCATACCATGCATTTACATGATTTATTTTCATTTTTCTTTATTTGAGTTGTTTGGTGGAGGAGGTTGGACCTGGGGCAAATGCACCAACACCTGAAAAAAATCAATTCGTGTTGATTGAAAACACAGTGGGCCTCATGTATGAAACTTGCGTACGGCCAAATCAGGGTGTAAATGATGCGTACGCAAAATATTTACACTTTTCCGCATTTATCAATCTGGACGTGAGCGTACGATACGCAAAAAATATACGCCAGGTCTGGAGGTGGTGTAAATGTGTACGCTCATTTCAACCTTCATTACAACACGCCAAAACACGCATGAAATGCAAGATTTGGAGAAAAATAAACATATTCCCACTCTGACAAGATTATAGGCACACCTCTCACATTACAAATATGCAATTTTAAGATGTTATGTTAGGGCTAGTTTGTGTTATTCAATAATGTGCAAGATGTCAAACTTAGTCTCCCACAAATGTGTGGATTGTTATATGCACCTATACAGTCAGTGCATAATGGCATTTGGTTCATGCGGGTCCAAGCAAAGACCACCGTGGAGCGCTGCGCGGGTCTGATCAGGCTCTGGGACATGCAGGGGGTATACGCTCTGGTACCTCCCGGTACAAGTGTGCCACATGGTCCTGGTTCGGTTCTCCACAACAGGCACAGGACCACAGTGTGCCACTGGTGGAGCAGCCCATGGATGAGAGACCATGGCCAGCACCGCCTTCGGCCTATACAGCTCAGACAGGCTCTCATTCAACCATTTTAAAATAATAATCACATACATAATTTGAAGATAATTTAATTTCTTTATATTTTCTTTTGGATGCTTTGGTCTGGCGGTCCTCCCCCTGGGCTGCTGAGCACTTCTTCTATAGGCTGCGCTAAACGCCTTTTTGTTACATTTTAAGATTGCTCCCTTTTTTTCACTTGTAGCATAAATTTATGAATTCTTACTATTGGCCCAATATATCAACTGTTTGATATAACATGGCGTATTTTTCTTCGAACATGAATAAACTCACCTCTTCAGGAGTGTTGCAGGCCCCACGCTATTTACAGATGCTGTCATTTCTTTCCATACATTGTTTTTTGAGCCCCTTGATGCCCCTTTTGAGAATTCCAAATAGTAAGACTTTATTCTTTTTCCCACTTCGTTCATAATGGTCTCAATCCCCTGCTCCGTGAAGTTATTTTTCCTTAGCCGTTTACTCACTAACCAGACCCTGCGCCGTATACGTAAATACGCATATGTTTTGCCTCATTCACCTCTGGCAAAGCATGCGGGTTTTCCTTAGTTTTGTGCATAGCAAGCAAAATACGTGAGCAACAATGAAAAGAGTAATATGACCAAAAAAATGATTTTAAACATTTTGTATTTTTTTTTACTAACCATAACCGACAGGGTTGAGCCAAAGTAGCGGATGAAATCAAACTCTGCGTTGCCATGGCCACAACACGCACGTCAGAGACGCCGACGTAAAAAAAAAATGAAGGCTTTTAATTTAGCCCAGTGGAAGTTGTCAGTGAGTGCATCATAGATTTGCTCTGTGGTCAAAAGATAAAAGTAATTGAAGTTTCGCATCAGGGCGCCTTAATTTCCACCCACAATGCAAATCAGCTTTAAATATAACATCCGACCGGCATTTAAACGGTTGATCGCCACGGCGACGTGGGTAAGGTCAACCCGCCAATGTAAACCGCGGTTCGGGAGTCTGGGGTTCGAGTCCCACGGTCAGCACTCTGAACCGAGATAGTCCTTGATTGGCGTTGACACCCTCACGGGGGCGGGGGTCATGAGAAGAGGGCTTCTCCTACACTGTGAACACTGGAGCTCTAGTCGGTGGTAGGAGCTGGCACCGAGATGGTTGTCTGTCCTAGAGCAGGTTGAAATATACCGAGGGAGGCATTTTTTTTTGTGGATCCAAAAGCCATGTAAAAAAAAAAAAAAAAAGCTAACAGAAAGTCAAAATTACGACTTTTAAAAGTCAAAATTACGAGTTTTCAACTGCGCATGTGCAGTTGAAAACTCGTATGTGTTGTTGTCTGGAACGGTCTCTGGTCATCCCTGTTATAGATCCATGACCATGGGTCATCCTCTACCTGCAGATTATGTGAAGATTTTTCCTACAGACAGTGACCACATCCATGAAGTAGCAGCAATAATGTTTTGGTAGTAATCGCAATAAAATGCAAACGGTCTCTCCGTTTATGATTAGAATCCGCTTCAGAAGCCTCTATTTAGTTTATCCTAAACGGACTGTGGAAGATTAATAATAAAACACATGCGGCTGTTCAAAGTCCTTGAGCATCAACTGGTGACATCTGGTCAGTATCGCGGCTATCGATGGATGCACCAGAAATGCACTGAATGATATTGTGACTGACAGAGAGACCGTTCGCGATGACAGGACAGTGAGTTAGGGAGGTCCGCAGACAGAGGCAGGAGAACCACAGTCACGGGCACTGACAATGTTACCCTTTTGGAATTGCGATCAGTGCATTGAAGAGTATGTGACGTGTTTGCGTGCACGCGGGGGTGAGCTGATGGAGCGAGCGTGCGGGTAAAGTTGTTGGCGTATGAGCAAGAACACAGAGACATACAGGGAATAAGTGCCTTGTCTGATTCTACGTCATGATGCTACGTCCTTTAGGACTTCGCTAGTGGGATATCACTCGTGACCCCCAGGTCACACGCCAGAGAGATCAAAATAATTTGCTCCAATCACCAGCGACCCTCCTCTATAAAGGCCCCTGCACAAGGCCGCACCCCCTCTTTCGCTCTGGCGCCGATTGAGATCTACCACAGTACTCACTTCATTCTGAGAGATGTCTTCTGCTGTTCGTCCGAGTTCCCCTTCGCCCTCCGGCATCGGACGTCGTCGTTGCTCGACGTGTCGAGTCAGGCTCCAGCGCACGGACCAGCACTCCAGCTGCTTCATGTGCCTGGGCCCGGGCCATGCGGCGTTAAGCGCCAGCTGCGCCTCGTGTCTCGCTCTCCCCAGGGAGGAGAGCGAACGCAGGCGTGCGTACCTCGCCGCTGCAGCGCCCCGTCCGGACTCCTCTCAGGACGAGGAGTCTGAGACTGACTGGGCCCCACTCGACCTTCCACCCGTGCCCGCGGAGTGGGGTGACTGCGAAGATGGAGAGGCTTCGGAGATCCTCACCCTGGACGAGGTGGTCTCGAACCCGGAGCCGGACCGCTTCCCACTGGACCACATGCCTGGGCTCTACTCCTCCGCGGCGGCCATCATGGATGCTCCTCTGCCACCGCAGCCGATCCAAAGGGCGGAGGACTTCACCTCTGGGCACGCCACCACTCGAGGGAGGAGGAGGATACAGCCCACGTTGTGCCCGCGGATGGACCCGATCGTCCATTACGCGACACGTGAGTGGCCAAAGCCCCTAGCAGCCACGAGGCCTGCTCTGTGCTACGGCATGTATTGCAGCGTGCAGGACTGGTCCTGGACCGGCGGGGTCCCGGACATCGAGGATTCAGTCCGCATGGCCCTGCAGCCCTCCGCATCCGTGTGGCCCGGCACCAGACCTCTCCTTCCCTCCGAGCGGGACAGGATGTCGTTGGCTATGCTGGATAGATGTTATGCCAATGCGGCACAGGTCGTCGCTGTAGCAAATAACATGGCTTTCATCACGGGGGCCCTGGATAGGTCGCTCTCCTCTGGCCAGGCGCTCAGTGGAGACACCTTATCGCAGGCAAGGACCACCTCAGCGGCGATCCTGCGCATGTGCCAGGCGCTAGCTGTGGATGGCAGCCGCTCCATGGCAGCAGCCCAAGTCGGGGCCAGGCACCTTTGGCTTGGGCTAGCTAACATCAGGGAGGCGGAGAAGAGGCAGCTGCTGGACCTGCCTGTTTCCCAGACGTCCCTCTTTGGCCCGGACATGCAGGCCCTGGTGGCTAGACTGGAGGCTGCAGCCAAGGACTCGGCTAGGCTAGCCCCGCACCTAGCACCGAGGCGCGAGGCCCGCCCACCATCACGGAGCCGGGACAGAGGCAGGGAGCGTTCGCCCGGGAGGCGCTCTGACCCCTATCCACGCTCTGTGGTCCATCGTCCCCCCTCGACGAGGCCCCCGGGTCCAGACAGACCCAGGGGTGGCTCGCGGGAGCAACGCACCCACCGCCGACCTCCCTATGGCAGAGGAGGTCGGGGTGGAAAGAATTCCTTCAATAAAGGCCGACCGGCATTTCATCATTACTCGTTGTCTGAGTCTCATTTGGGGGTATGTAACATGTCTAATGTGAATTCTGATTGTGTTACTTCCCGGGCACATAACGTTGCTTCGCTAGGCCTGCAGCCCCCAGAGCAGGGTGTGCAGTGCGCTACGCGAGCTACGAGCTCCGGTCCTCTGATCCATACTATGCCCTCCCTGAGAGAGGTCAGGCGGAGGGATCTGGTGAGTAGTGATGTGTGTGCTTCGGCCGAACGCGTGTTAGCCTCTCTGAGCTACAAGGCTAACACGGGGTCTCCCACTCCAGGGGCTCGCCCCCCCCTCCATGAGGCAAGAGCCAGGGGGGGGCGCAGCAGCCGAGTCACGTGGGATGAGCAGACCCGTACTGATGACGTCGGGCCTGCAGGACACGTGACCGTCCCCGGCGCTCACGGTGTGACGCAGGGGGCCCCCCGGCCCTTTCGTCCACCCCCCCTCCCTGCTAGGAACACCAGGAGAGGGCGGGGCCGTCCAGTGGTCGACCTTTTCGCCAGTGCAGAGAACGCACAGTGCCCGTCCTGGTTCGCCTTAAGGGCCGCGGACGAGCCGCCCTTAGGCGTGGACGCTCTGGCTCATTACCCCTGGCCAGGCGGCCTGCTGTACGCTTTCCCACCAGTGCGTCTCCTGCCGGTCCTGCTGCGGAGGATCGAACAGGAGAGGAGGTCGGTGATCCTGGTGGCTCCGGACAGTCCGCATGCCCGGTGGTTCCCCTTCCTGAGGGGCATGGCGGTGATGGAGCCCTGGGCCCTCCCGGACGAGCCGGGGGCTCTAGTCCAGGGGGGGGGAGCCCTTTTTTCACGCCCGATAATCGGCCGCAGGCTCTGGGTTTGGAGGCTGAGAGGCGGAACCTCGTAGACCTGGGTCTTCCCCCGGCGGTGGTGGAGACCATTCAGGGGGCGAGGGCGCCGTCCACTGTGAGGGCCTACGCCACGAGGTGGAGGCTCTTCAGCGACTGGTGCGGTTCTCGCTCCTGGGATCCCAGGCGTTGCCCGCCTGGGATCCCAGCTTTTTGACAAAGGGAGGGCTGTCGCCACCTTGGCGGTGTTCGCGGCAGCCATTACCTTGGGTCACGACGGATTCGGGGGGGTTCACAGCCCGCTCTCATCTGTTGGTTAAACGTTTTCTGCGGGGGGCGCGCAGGAGGAGGCCCCCGCTCCAGAGAACGCCCCCGGTTTGAGACCTCAGGGTGGTCCTTAGGAGGCTGTCGGGTCCGCCTTTTGAACCGGCGGCGGAGGCGAGTCCCAAGTGTGTCGCTTTTAAGACGGCCCACTTGCTGGCGTTGGCGTCTGCTAAGAGGGCGGGCGACTTGTGTGCGCTCTCCGTCCATGCGTCTTGCCGGTCCTTTGGAGAGGGCGACGGCATGGTGCAATTGTGGCCCAATCCGGCTTTTCTCCCCAAGGTCATCACGTCGGCCTTTAGGTCGAGAGTCGTCAGGATTAGGGCATTCTATCCGCCACCGCATGCCTCCCCCGAGGAGGAGCGGCTGTCCTGTCAGAATGCTTAGGCATTACCTGGCCATGACGTCTTCATTCAGGTTGGGTGGCCAGCTGTGTCTGGGCCCCAAGAACAGGGGCGCCCCGCTGTTGGCTCAGCGGCTGGCGCACTGGGTCGCCACGGCGGTGCGGCGGGCGTATCAGGCGCAGGGTCTGGCCCCCCTGGTGGGCTTCAGGTTGCATTCCACGTGTGGGATGGCGGCCTCTATGGCCCTCCTCAGGGGGGCGTCGGTCGAGGACGTCTGCCGTGCGGCTTCTTGGGCGTCGTCCTCTTCTTTCGTCCGGTCTTATCTTTTGGATGTGTCGGACCGGTCGGTGGCCCATTCCGTGCTGAGTTGAGACCGTTAGGTCCCTCCTCTGAGGGGGCCTTCGGTTGACTTTCCGCCCTGGTTCAGGAGCTTTTGGGAGAGGCGTCCTGCAGGTGCGGTATGTGTGTGCTTTTGGTCAGTCAGGTAGTCCACGTCAGGAGCTCTTGGGAGAGGCGTCCTGGGACTACGGGTGACCTTCGGTCTGTGTTACTTGGGGGTATCCTTGGGAGGAGTGGCCCTGTAACACGATTAGTGGTTCTTGAAGATGGGGGCGGGGCCAGTTTTCCTCCAGGCGGCGGTGGGAGCAGCCCCAGACCACCAGAGCTCTGTGGACGAGATCGATCCACAGAGCATAATTGTTATACATGTTAATTATCATGGGTCCCACACATTCAGGGAGCTCATTGGCTGAGTAAAATGTGTTCACTCTAAAACAATTTTTAGTGCGAGCAACATTTTTTAATTTCTCCTATTAGTTTGCTTTCAACGTTATGTACCCCAGCTTTAATAAGAGTCACACAGCAATTTGTACTTATTCAGTAATATAATTTGGATGTAATAGATATTTGATTACAAGCTGTACAAGCATACTCTTTGAAAAGATTGACCCATCTCTGTTTTGCTTACACTGCTTCCATCAGTCAAGTTGTCAGCGGGCTCCCCCGGATGACCTTGTTAGGGCCCCCACGCATGCGCCCCCTCCGCAGTGAGTTTAGCCCCGATATGTCAGCGGCAGACTGATGGGTGTCTCTGCACCTCTGCGTGCCCAGGCCCACTCTGAGGTGAGAGCCAGAGGGAGTTTGGTGTATCCCTGACTCCAAAACTATGTGTGGCAATATTTCTATGGGCCAAGAAAAAGCTGGTTTTGGAGGGATCAAGTTTCCTGTGTACAACATACAGCCGCTGGAGCGCGATGAGAGGAGCGTGTGTCTGTGGCCTGGCCTAGCACTACGTTTGCAATCGAAAGGAACAGTCATGAATGATAGGAGCCGTGGTGGACGAAATGTCATGTCAGGTTTGAGCGCTCTGCATGGGTTGGTCAAATAATTTATGATACAATTTACTTCTGACAATGTATTCTTTGTCGAAACAATTTGAACTAATTAATACCGTGCTTACTCTAGTACTGTGGCGCTGAATGACTTATTTAATTATGTGGGCCTTGCGCCCTCTTCTGTATATGAAAAGTATTACTTTCATTGCAAATTCAATGCTAACGCTGTTTGTTCACACATTTTGATGATTTCTGTTGGCCTTACAGTGCAAAAACGTAACAGTATTTATACAATCTGTAAAGCTAAACTTCATTATTACGTTTTTCCTATGGCAAGCGTTAGAAAATACTAAGTTCTAAAATGTATGCTCACTCATTCAATCAATGAATAGGTGGATAGATTATGCTCTTTAAACGTTGCCATGGAGACGTTGCCATGGAAACCTCCGCTTAAGTGACATCATAAAGGATTATGTCATTTAGAAGGCAGGCCTTTGAGTTCACTGGTACTCAACCAGAGAGGGAGAGGACAGGGACAGACACGGAGGTAGAGGTAGAAATAGAGACAGACAGAGACAGACAGAGGCAAACACAGGCAAACAGAGACAGACAGAGGCAGACAGAGACAGACAGAGGCAGACAGAGAGGGGGGAGAGAGGGAAGCGGAAGCAACATAAGTCGGCTTATTATTAAGATAAAGTTTATTTAGTTGAGTTGTATTTCTCATTTTAAGAAAAGCAGTATGCGGGATTTTGAAGGGGATTGCGTCTCAAATGACATTGTTTCTCAGATCTCCACAGAGCAACTAAAGTCTGTTGCACTGAGGTACTGGAAACAGGCCCTGCAGATGACAAAGCCCAAGAAAGTCCTGGCAGAGATGTTATTGGAAATAATTGACACTCTGTCTAATAATATTTTGGACCTCTTGAGTCAACCAGAGTGCCCCCTGGTGTCACAGGAAGACATCAGCAGAGCTCTGGAGCCCTGTCTGACGGATATCTTTGATTTCCTATTGAGCACCTCACGACGCGTGTGCTCCGCTCTTCAAGGCCTTGAGCGCAGTAGTGTGTAGCAGTGTCAACGCTGGGCAGAGCCACAGTGAAATACAGCCCAAAACCTCATACGTGCCCCCCAAAGAACATCTGGTCAAAATGATGCACTTGATCAAACCCCTTTTACGTTTCGCCAGAGATCAGGAATGTCGGAAACATTACTCGGAGCCTCTGCCTGATGTCGCACAGCAGACCAATGCTGTGCGCCATCACAGCACAGACTTTAGCACACGTGGTCCTCAAGTGTCGGAGGAAAGTGAATGCTCGGATTCTGAGAATGAAACCAGATCTACAGAGATGAAAGTCAGCTCTGACACCAGGAAAGTGACTCCACCAATGGCGTCCAAAAACACCATAATACAAATTCAATACATCGCTGAAGAGGCTGCTACGGAAATGTTGCTCAAGGGCCAGGAGAACAAGTCTAAGGAGCTGCTGAGACCACTATGTAAGGACCAGGAAGCCGCTTCACAGGTGGAAATCCAATGGAACGACCAGCATTGGTCTTACCTGCTGCTAGAAGTGTGCTTTCGGGTGTTGGCTACCTCAGAGGAAATGAATATAGAGCAACTCTTCCAGCTTCTCTTGAAGTATGTGGAGCAACACAAATCTGAATGTATTGTTCGGGTCAAACCTGATCTGCATCACATCAGAGAAGCAGCTAATGCGATACACCAAGCTGTGATTGCAAACCTTGGGGAGTGGATGCTATTCACAATCATGGTGGAACCTGAGTTCAGCGCCGCCATCATCACAGACTGCATCCTGAAAAGGGTAAGCATGCCACAACAAATAGGCTTTATCCAGGAAAGAGCCTCATTGGAGTCTTTCGATGAGACCAACACATCTCTAAAATCAGAGACAGCACACAAGACACCAGACATGGTGTACAGGGCGTGGTTGGACTATAAAGCGAGAAAGAAAGCCCCCTCACCAGAAGAATACATACCAGCTGAGCAAAGGGCTGCCACACAGGACCATGAAGACTTCATGTGGAGTAATTCTGACTGGTCCAACCTGGTGTTTGAGTTGTCTGCTCTGGTGTTTGGCACCAGAAACCCACATAAACTGGCAGAGTGTTCCATGTTGCTCTTTGGACATGTGCAGACATTTAAGGATAGGTGCAATGTTCGTATGAAACCTGATGAACACAACATTGAGGACGTGGCAAATCAAATTTACAAAGACCTGCGCCAAATTTATCCCAAAAAGGCACTGCGTGTGATAGCCTTTTCCGACCCACACGTCATCACAGCGGGCATCCCCAAACAACTAGAGAGGATCCCTAAGAAGCGTACACTAGGCACTGTCCTGAGGTCCGTGTGTCGGGCCATCTTCAGGAGGTGTTAAGTCCAGGGAGTGTCTGACCACCATTGTGACCGTGTTCTTGGCTGCTCATTGGTGCTTAGGCTATATCCACACGAAGACAAAACGCTTATAATTTCAGAAACTTTTTCTGTAAACACGGAGTTAGCTCAGTAAATGTGTGCGTCCATATGAATGTAGTCAATACGCCTGAAAACGCTGTGAAACTATGCCAGACCTGTTGGTGGCGCTGTGACGCAATGACGGGATCAAGCCCAAACTTCCGTGACGGGAACTGGCATGCGCAGAATTTTGTAAACAGACAACATGGCGAGTGGGCGAGCTGGTACTACATTAGTATGGACGGACGATGAGGTTGAACTGTTGCTTCGGGTCGCACTGGATTACAAAACCAACAAGCTACATTGTTGTTGTCATTATTTTCTGAGTGCGGCGCATGCGTGCTTTAACAAGAGGCGGGGCGATGACGCAAGCGTCTCAGATACATTGCGGAGAGGCAGTAACCACGGAGCGGCATATACGGAGTTTTGAAATCTTTCCACTCTGGGACCTACTTTCAAAAATGTTCGTTTACACCCCCCCAAAACGCCGGCCTCGTATGGACGATACACTGGATTGATAAAAGTATTTTTGCGTTTAGGCCTGAGCTTGACTTCGTGTGGACAGGGCCTTAACGAGGCCGGCGTTTTGGGGGGGTGTAAACGAACATTTTTGAAAGTAGGTCCCAGAGTGGAAAGATTTCAAAACTCCGTATATGCCGCTCCGTGGTTACTGCCTCTCCGCAATGTATCTGAGACGCTTGCGTCATCGCCCCGCCTCTTGTTAAAGCACGCATGCGCCGCACTCAGAAAATAATGACAACAACAATGTAGCTTGTTGGTTTTGTAATCCAGTGTGACCCGAAGCAACAGTTCAACCTCATCGTCCGTCCATACTAATGTAGTACCAGCTCGCCCACTCGCCATGTTGTCTGTTTACAAAATTCTGCGCATGCCAGTTCCCGTCACGGAAGTTTGGGCTTGATCCCGTCATTGCGTCACAGCGCCACCAACAGGTCTGGCATAGTTTCACAGCGTTTTCAGGCGTATTGACTACATTCATATGGACGCACACATTTACTGAGCTAACTCCGTGTTTACAGAAAAAGTTTCTGAAATTATAAGCGTTTTGTCTTCGTGTGGATATAGCCTAGAGTGAACCACTCTAAGCACCGACCAGGACCTGTAATTGTTATGGCCTATAAATAAATAAATGCAAATTCAAAATAAAAAATGTTTAAGTATATTATTATTATATTAAAAATGTTTATGTATATTTTGCAAATATACAAAAGGACACCAATAATTATGTAGTTGCTGTTTTATCTGATGAGCTCTGAGTAAGCTTCGAATGTAAAATTATTTATTTTATGTTTTTCTGTTGAGAAAGTAAGCTTTGCCTGAAGCCCCTGCTGAAAGATCAAGGCTCCTGTGGACTCTCCACCTGCAAGAGGATCAGTGAGGGGTTGGTATTAAGTTTACTGGGTGCAGCTCTGACTGCCACCCCCGACCCAGAAATGGATCAAGGGGTAGAAAATAGATGGATGGATGGAAAGTACACTTATAACGTGCATTACTTCCACAATCATATTGTGTATGTGTGCTCCAAGCAGCAATTATATTTGGGAATAGATCTGCTCTTCTGTTCATTTGTTTAGAAAAATCTAATAAATTAAAATAAAAAGAGCTGTTAGAAATCTGTTATAAAGAGAGAAAAAACAGTGTTTCGTGATGGAGAGAGGTGGAGCAAAGGGAAGGAGGAGGAAGAGGGGAAGACAAAGACTCATAAAGGAAAAGCAGCGGACGACAACACAAACTTGTAAGTATGAATATTATCACCGCTGCAACTATAACTATACTCTCTTTTCATAAAAACACAATAGCAAGAGCACTTTTGAAATGTAAAGGTGGATCTCTGGGTTATAGTGCCTTGACTACATGATATATTGATTTTCAAATTATGATGATAAAATTATAATTATGTCGCATTTTATTGAAGATGAAGCAATATCTTAAAGCTCTTAACATAAAAATGGCTCTTTATCTATCTATACATGCCAGACAAATAGTAAACCCATACAGATATAATACATTGTTGAGCCAAAATGGTTGTATTTCCTTATATTTTCAGTATTTCAACTTGTACTCACACACTTTTTTTTCTTCTCGCAAATCACTCTTTAAATCAAATTAGAGGAAGCATGCACTGACTCTCCTGGGGGAATGTTTAGGAATGTATTTTCATTATATTTCTCTTGCCGAGCTCTTCCCCACATTGTAGAAGATTCAGTACGCAAGAGAAGGTTTTGAAGATTAGTTGTTTGAGCATAAATCTGCAGAAGAATGCTCAAAACACAAAAGAGGGTGGAGATTGTTTAAATGAGGCACAAAAAAACAACACATTCTTTAGTGGGAACTCATGTCTTGGAGGCTGATGTTACAATGACATACTAAGGGTGGAATGATTGAAAGAAAAAAAAAATCTGTACCATTATATATATATATATATATATTTTATGTATATATAAAACCTGCTTTCAACTATTGTAGTGTATACATTATTATATTTTGTCTTGCAACTGAACTGGAAAAGGCTTTTACTCATGAAATATCCAATAGGACACGTATTTAGGTCTGTTGTTTAAGGAGTACTTTTATTTCTTTACAATCACTGCACCTTATTACTTGGTGCTTTTTGTTAGTGGTGTTACACAATATCTTTATGGAGAGAAAATCGAGGTGTAAATCCAATCTTTCTAGGCATTTATTTAAAGTTTTATAGGTGAATTTATTTTTTGATTGTCCTAGAATGACCAATGCCAGTACTATTGGACACAATATATTAAAAGGATCAGGATATTTCAGAGCTAACTCCCCCTTTAGATCAAGTTCACACAGTTCTTTATTGGTTGGTAAAAAGCCCTGTACCTGCTGTAGAGAGACTGTCATCTGGGGGGTCCCAAAAAGTCCAAATCAGGCAGTCATAAACAATATTTGCCAATCAAAGCGAATCTTCACTTGAAAAAAAGGTCTATTCGCCACCAGCAACAAGCATGAAATCAATCCATTAGGCAAGACAATTTTCAGAACAACTTAAAATTACACATTCTTGGAACATCCAATGGAGCCTGATGGGAGTCATTATGATTGTTTGCTGAAAAACTGGGTTTCTGATGATAATTCAGTATTAAATGACACTGCATTGGCACCACATACTTGTAGTCTATTGCAAAGGGCTTTGTGTCTGTGGAAAGTACTATATAAATAAAGATTACTTACTTACTTGGAAACTTAAAAAGTATTTATTTTACAGGTCATACTGTATCTGTCGAAGGGCAAGACATTAAACTGGTTTTAGAGCCGTAAAAACATCCATTCAATGCCATATACTGAAATAAATATACAAAGGCCTGCAAAGAGATGGGCTGGATCAGAAAACTTTGTGTATCTTTAAAGGATTTTAAAGAAGACACACAACTTTAATGACATAACTTCCGACAGGTTTGAGCAAAATGTGGGGGATTTTTTACAAGTGGGGGCAATTACTGACAGAATAAACAGTGTATAAAAATGAGGAGAGGATATTGAACAGTTCCTCTCTGTGACTCTCTTCCTCTAGACCTCCTCTGGCTCATAAACCTTTGCCCTCACGAGTCGCGGGAATGGCCACCCTCCCAGTGGTCCCGCTCCTCTGCGCTTTCCACGGTAACCCCATCCAAAACACCAATCCTCGGGTTTAATTAGGCCCGAGTCACAGTCCCAGTGCTTGTTTTTTAATGCCGTGAACTGCTTTTCCTTTTACATGTGGTCTGCGGTCGTCAGTGTTCACAGCTGGGGCCCAGACCGGTAATGTTCCCCCCTCCTCCCATTTCCTCATAAGTCATATTTAAAAACACTGCAAATACATGACTTTAAATGACTTCAGCACTCAACATTGTTTTGATAAAGAGAAATATTGGGTGTGTTAATAATTAGGAACTAAATACAACGTTTAAGGGAGATGTATTTGGTATTAGGAGGCATTTTGTGTTAAACCACACATAGATCACGGCTTTGGCACACATCTTGTTCATTTTATGCTGCAAAAGCCATTAATAATAAAAACGTGTTTATTTTTTAATTTGAAAAAAGTAAGATAACATTTGAATATGTTTGATTCGGAGTCAGAATCACAAATTGACAAAAGGGCAGAGATTGGGGGCAGGTGACACTGAGCTTGTCTGAGCACTGAAGCCTCTCTTTTGTGCGGAACAAATAGAATATGTTGAAAAATGCATGAAACTATAACACAAAGAAACACAATCAAACAACAACAATTGAACAACTCACATCACTTTGGAATATGAGATCTAAACATATGTTTTTTATATCTGATTAATTGTTTCATTTCAGAGAGCACTGAGGCGCCTGGGTCCTTACCTTCAGGTGAGTTGCGTTTAATCAGTACGCTCCAACACATGTGGCAAAGGGAACAATAGACTACTATTGTTGACATCAGGGATGCCCAAGGTGAGGCGCGGGAACCACATTTAGCCAAACTGGAGGTGCAGGATGAATGGCAGTCCATTATTCCCTAAATCCAGAGAGCACATTTTTGTTCACTGGGTAAATACTGAAGTAAACACCACAATGATCAAACCATTTTACTTTTTAGCGTTTGCAGCAGTCTTATTTCATTTGTGGAGGCACATTGTCTAAGTGGGTATGTATTGCATTCTTCACAGCAGGAAGGTTGTGGGTTAGATCCTGTGTCGGCCCAGCCTTTCTATGCGGAGTATGCATGGTTCTGGGTGGGTCCAAAACATGCACCCATATAAATCTCTGACGGGGTCCTGTGGCGCTGCACTGTAGACACCACTGCTACGGACATGCCCTAGTACTATTGAAGGATGGGTCAAATGCTAAGGGCACATTTCCCCAGGAGGACAACACAGTATAACGTAACCCTCTCTGGTTTGTAGACTGTAGGGAGGAGATGTATCCCTGCACCAGGATGTACTCTGTTCATCGGCCGGCCAAGAAATGCATCGGAGGTTTCTGTCTCTACAGGTCACACATCTTCTACAGCACTTATGTATTGTCTCTGTCCCTAAATAATAAGGAAAAACAAACCTCATAATTGAGAACCCAAAACACCATAAATAAAAATGAGTAATAGCAGTATCTTACCCCTTTAATGGTTTCCTTTATCATTTGGTGACTTTTTGAGTCACTTATATCTACTTGAAGATTGGGACATAGTCTATGATTGGGACTGAAATCTGCCTCTTGGGCACTTGTACCATCAAAGTGCATCTTACCATTCGATAAAGATGTTTTTTTTTTGTTATTTATAAATATATGTTTCTTTGCGGCTTCAGTTTTTCTTGCATCGGTGCATCCCTATTAAAGGGTTAATGTAACCACACTCCGTCATCCAGTTATTTATTATCATATATATCACAAATGAAGTTGTAATACTTTTCCTGCCACAGCCTGTCGCGCATGTACGTGATCAACAATGAGATCTGCACCAGGACTGTGTGCGCACAAGACGAGTACATGAAAGGTGAGGCAGGTCTTCAAGGCTAACATTCACATTATTACACTATTTTTGCACATTTTATTGCTCTATAATGCCACAATTATCAATAATCAGGATGGAATAGTTATTATTGCACAAAATTAAAGTAGAAAAAGTAAAAATATTGAAAATATTGAAATAATTCCCTTACTTAAAGGCCAAATCTGTTTTTATGCCCAGCCATTTGCAACATAATTTAGAAAGTACAGTACCCAGATAGGGTTAAACAATGGGAGTAAAAGAAAAATACGTAGTAAAGTACTGATACCAGGAACAAGAACACCTGTGACATCGGTATTATTAGACATTGGAAATCAATTATTATTATTAGACATTGGAAATCAATCAAAGTTACTGTCACTGTAAAGATACTGTTGTTTTTCCCGCAGCGGAACTGTGCCGAGAGCGCTCCGGGTGGCCGAGACGCATCCAGCGCTCAGCTAATCAGAGGAGGCGTTGTCGCAGTCGTCGTGGCAACCCCAACACCTGGGAAAACAAGGTCTGAGGCGCCCCCGGAGCTGAGCCGTAAAACTCCACGAGTACGAGTCTATAAATCTCAGCTCAACACCCAGGGCACTTTTGAATTTGATCCGTATTTATCGATGTCACTTAATTGTCTGTGAACATTGGGGTGAGCTGGTTTCAAATGTATGCAGCTGACACAGAATCACGATTTATGATATATTTTGCATTACTATAGCAACAGCACACCTTCTCTCATCACCATTTTACACATGATTTATAAAAAATACATTACGGTACGGATTGAGAATATGCGTACATTAAATGCGTAACTAATCTTCAATGTGTTTTATTTTGCTTTTTCTGGCGTTTTGTATCTATTCACAAGTGTGACTTTTACCGTGTGGAAGACATGAAAAGGCAAAAAAAACACTTAAATTCTTAGTTTTACTTCATATATTCAGTTCCATTTACAATATAATTTACAGACAGTAATAATCCAAACATCAGGACAAGAAACCAACACTGACAGTAACTTCCTTAGCAGCAGTAATGTCTGTAACAACATTTCCGAACTACAATCATCCTGAACACTAAATCACAAATAAGTATTACATCGCACTCACACATCACGTATCACTTTTTTTTACATTAAGATTTTACAGTTTATACAAAGCAAGTTACAGTTGGAGCCCGAGCTGATGGGGGCTGATTATAACTGATGAAATGTTAAAGGGAATGTCTGTAACTTTATGTATTTCTAATGAATGCAGATTTTTGACCGCTCGACCATGTACTATCGTATAATCAGTCATAATAAATGTATCCTCCCGAGCAAGAGTGATTGCAAATGCTCCGCGCTTCTCGACTGTGCTGCTTTTGCCGCTGTGATTGGTTGATTGGTTTGTCACTCACTCAAACCTTGACAGAGGCGGGATTAACGCTTTTGAGAGAAAACAAACATTTTACGACTATTTCCCCCAAATATACATAATTTACATCATGTCTAATGTGTCTTTTCTGTATCTGGTACAAGTGAACTTTGTGCTCATTAGGGGTGGTCAAAATATAATTTTCTTTGACAGAGGCTGCATCCGAATTCATACGACACACCTCCTTCCTTCTCCTTTTTATTCACCTTGACAACATTAACTTTGACCTAAGTGGCTTTAAATAATTCTTTAAAAGGCCTTGCCCTTCACTTGACCAAATCAAACATGACTTTGAATTGTTTTATGAAGGAAAAACAAGGAGGGAGACATTTATTTACTCTGAATTTGCATGTAGCAGAGAGTTTAAAAGACTGCCAAAAGGTCAAACATCCTTGTGAGTTTTTTTGTATATGTTCACAAAGAATTGGAAGACATGCCACGCTGTATCAAAGACCTCGTATGGCTGCAAATTTTCAAATGGCAGAAATCCTGTCTTGTAGTCTGCGTTAGCACTTTGAGCTTGTGTTTTGCTCCATTTTTTCACGTTAATAAACTAAAACAGCGAGAAGGTCTAGCTCAGAGGGACAGAGGAGCTCTTTGAGGAGTAGGTAGCTGTGGCCTTAATGACTCATGGAGCAGCAATGTCCAGGCGGTTGGGCTCAGATCACACGTTTTGACACATATTCAGAATAAAAATTGAAGTAGTCCACACTTTAGGTCTGTGGACACTACATCCAGTTGTGAGGAGGTCTAGAGCTTACTTAATTGAAGCATATTCTATTCTATTCTATTCAAATACAGTGTGTAGTGTTGTTATCAAATTGTTTACAGATATTTGCTTGTATCATAAACTATTACAGTATTTCTAAAAGGAGACCTACAAGTTCCCATACATGGCCACTAGAGGATAGTAGGGAGCAACACTGAAACATTATTGTTATCAAGCCAGTGCATAGTCAAGTCCCTGATTTCCAAATACAGGAATATCTACATACTGTATTAATACAGTCTGTGTAATTGATCTGTACATAAATCACCTGTTTAACACACACGTTGTAAAATACTGAAAGTTTAGGTTGTCTTGTCAACATCAGAAACGAGTTTGGGATTGATAATGGTAATCACTAGGTTTTCATGTTGTCGCCTGCAATTTTCAACAGTTTTAGCATTTTCATCCATTTCATTGGAGAAATGCAAGATAGATTAATTAAATCCAATCTGTGAAATATTAGAGGCGATGAAAGAACGTTCTGACAGAAAACACAACATACTAGTCCTTTAAAGAAACTACTTTGAGTTAAAACATCACTTTTTGAAGACAAAACAGGGGCTTTCTGACCAGGGTACTTAGAATCAAACAACACACGGTAATGCAAGTATGTAGTATCTTGTGTGTCCCCCTGCGCGGCAGAGAAACCTAGGACCCCGGAATTGGGGAAAGAATGTTGCATAAGGTAATTCCCACAAAGTAAAGGGAAAAAACAAACGGGAACACTTCCTCACTTGGGAGGCGCGGAGTCGAAATCTCCCCACAAATCTGAGGCCGCTGTGGAGCCGGTGTTCGACGCAGTGAATGAATTTGAACTGTTGGAATCTAGATCCAGTAAAAAGCCTGTTGGACAAAACAAGAAAAGTTAATAGCCTTTTATATTCAGACAGTTAAGCACGAAACACAGTGGAAGATAATGTGACTGCTTTTGGATCAAGAGCAATTTTCAAGCAGTGAGAATTTAAAAGCAAAAACGTATTACAACAAAAAACAGCCAATGAAACAGAAAGCAGATAGACTGAAAGGTACACAACATCAAGCAGCTGAACTAAACAAACCATATTTCTATCTACAACACTGCTATTATTCCTGTCCTTCCTGAGTATAAACAGAGTATAATAAAAATCTAAACAATTGGGGTAAAGTCAGTACAGTGCTATAGTTCTGAGTGGAGTCTTGATAGAAAAACTTGTACCTGCATCACTTCCTGTAGTTGCCGGCTGTGTGTTGTGATTAGTGGTTCTTGAAGATGGGGGCGGGGCCAGTTTTCCTCCAGGCGGCGGTGGGAGCAGCCCCAGACCACCAGAGCTCTGCGGACGAGATCGATCCTTCTTCTTGGATTGCTGAAATGATGGTTATAAACATGTAGATAATCAAAACTCGTATGTGTTCTTTCTCATTTACAACTACTGTGTCCTATTTGAATTAGACCTCATTTAGATCTAAAGAAAATCCCTGTTTCAGATCTGGCTTAGAATTGGCTAAACATTTCCCCAGGAGGCAGAAAAACACTGGACCCTAGGGTTGTGTCAAGGGCTGTGAGAACACTAAAGATTTTTTCCCTCATACTCCCTATTTCTTCTTTCCATTTTCTTAAGCCTCTTTAAATATTTTGCTCCTGATAACCTGATAAATCATTGGGCCCAATCCACCGAAAACCACTCAATTGTTCATATGTTATTTTCATTCGGGCCCACAACCATAATCTTTAGTGTCACCAAATGCTTAGAGCCCAATCATAATTCATGAGTTAACACGTTAATAAGTTGTCTTTAGTAACCCTTAAAACAGGAAAAGGAGGATGTTACTTTAACTATTAAGGGAAAACCGTTACCCCAATATTCAAAGTTATTGTCTGGCCTTCTTTAAATCCCAAATCCAGTTTAGGAGTTGTGTCTGGAGCCTGTGCCTGTTTTGACAACTCAATGTCCTGTTTGACCCATCTGTAAAAAAAATAACAAAATATGTATATATATAATATGATCATAGAAATGAAGTTAGAATATAAAAAAAAACACCCACTTGAAATGGTCTTGAAGTGCGACATTGAAGTCAAAGGCATCTCCTCTGTCTCCGAATCCAACACCTATGAATGCGCTGCGACCTGGGAACCAAATGGGTATGTGAAGATTTGAGCAAAAAGTGCTAAATATAGTAATAATTATCTTTTGCAGTCCTCACCACTTTCATCTTGGATTCTAAGCACAAAATAGCGGCTGGAGTCACTGACTGTTTCGACTGCGATGCCGGGGAATTCATCTATCGGTGCCTGCGCGAATAACTCTCCTGGAGGAAAAGCAGACGCAAGTGCATTTAGATCGTAATAGAAAACAGCACTTTGTTGATAATATTGTCATCATTTTGAATGTGTATTTAATAACCTCTTATCCTTTCCTTCATCACCATGCAACACATTTGAATATCAGTAAAGACAAAAATCTTCCTGAATAAACAAATAGTGCCCAATATTGTTAAGAGGCTGGAGAAGTGCTCCACAGACTGATATATAATGATAATTTTAGGTTCATGGTAGATAAACAATAATATATTATTTCCACATGTTGAAAAAGACAAATTGCAGCTAAATTATGTCAAAACAAGCAGTGGCGACACGTTCACCTTGGAGCAGATGAGTAAGAGCTGGAGACTACACACACCGCACCACAGGTAAACATTGGTCTGATGAGGCCACAGTCTGAGCTGCTCTTACCAGAGATCTTGTCCTCCAGTTTCACATAGGCCATTTTCCCCCGCGCTGTCACCCGCATGCGGCCCTGCCAGTCTGGGGCATCCAGCTTCCAGTCTGCAGCTCTGGTTCACACAAAGACGGAGGGATAGTGTGGGGAGAGAGTCAAGAAGCAGCAGAGAAACCTATGCCTTCATAAAAAGGTCTTATAATCTACATTATGTCTAATGCAATATACTAATACTAAGCTTAACATGGCATTCTTTATTCACTCAATGCACAGTAAAGTTCTACTAGCCACAGATGCACTGGGGTAAGATGAAGGAAATCAAGGCTCTCAATCCGAGCCATCGACCACCACCAATCATCGATCACCACTGATGCACATACCAGGCCGTGTGTCCTCAACATCAGTTGAGCACTTTACAGAGACACCACCGTGGCACCTGGTGTTTATGTACCAGTGTGTCTCCACCAGGGGTAGGGTGACACAACCACTTAGCACAGGCATGTCAAATACCCACATTGATTTTGTGGCCCCTGAAAAGATGCATCAGTTTTTACTATTAACCTGCAGCATTGAGTATAAGAGGTTAGAATTGTCTACTATGGCACATCATGCAAAGATAATGGACACATTGGTATAAAGTTAAATAGGATTTTTTATTTTATTAAGCCCCTCCAACAACAATAACTTAAATCAGCTCCCAAAGCGTCACATAGTGGCTCACAGGGCTCTTTCTTAGCAAAAGAAAAACAAATTCTAATAAAATGACAGCATATGTTGGTTTAATTTGTTCACAATGTTGTGTAAAAGGTTCTTTCAGTTGGGACCAACATGCATTTATGAAACAGGTGTCCCAGCTTAAATTACAGAAATATCTTCATATGGGGGCGACAGTGGCTCAGTTGGTAGAGGCCTTTGGGCCTGAAGGTCGTGGGTTTGAGCCCACCAAAAGACCTACTTCATGACTCCCACTGATGTCCGCTGTCGTTGTGTCCTTGAGCAAGACACTTAACCCCACTTTGCCTGAAGCCCCCGCTGAAAGATCAAGGCTCCAGTGGACTCACCACCTGCAGGAGGATCAGTGAGGGGCAGGTGCTATGTGGACCCCAACCCAAAAATGGATTAAGGGGAAGAAAATGGATTGATGGATGGATCTTCATATAGTTCAACATATCTTGACAATGTGTCATTGTCCGGCTGCTGCCCTCTGTTTTTCTTCCACATTGCATTGTGGTCTGGAATGACTCATCCAGAGACTATTATAAAGCACATGGTTAACAACACTATAAGCAACTATTGACCACCAATACAGACGCCAACAAACAGTTCGAGACAATTCGGACAATAAGCATCTCTACTTTGGATATAGGAGCAAATCTGTGAATAAGTGGAAATCCAACTTGACCAAGATGTTTCACTGACTCCCAGGGTGGGCCTTTATTACATAACAATCTCCTTTACAGTACTGCATGATTGTCAGGGAGTACCATAGTAAACCAAATGAGCCTCCAGGGAGAAATATTGTTGAGGTTTTGTAGATATTGTTAGGCCTGCCAATGCAGTATTAATGTTAAACAGGGCTTATTGATAAACTATTAGCATTAAGTTGTGAAATCACCTATTTCCTATTAGATTCTTATAATAATATCTCGAATTTGAAGTATATGTGCTAATTATGCTATAAACATTAGAACAACATTGTTTGAAGAATCAGTTTTGAATAACAGTATGTTTGTTCAACCACTGCCTTCACAAATATGAATCTGAAACAGGCCTATAGTTTGCTTTTTGATTACCACAACATCATGTCAAACATCAGCTTCTCAAGCAAACAGCGATATTAGAAGCTGCGTGAAGAAACATTGATGGGAATATAGACTTTGAAGCGTATCCACAGATGAATAACAATGTTGTTGCACAGCCCTACTTCTAATTCATCTGGAGAAGCCGAATACAAAGCTGCTCTGAGTCAGTGCGTGCTCCTGACGAGGCGGGACCAGCTGCGGAGGTTGATTCAAACATTCATCTAGTCTTTATGACAGACTGACGTGACCTTGTGAATGCAGCCGTAAACAGAGCTCACACTACGGGCTTCAGAACTCCGTCACGACTGGACAGAGGATGCGTGTGCCCAGAGGAGCCGCAGGAGAGCCGCAGGAGAGCCGCAGGAGGAGGCTGAGGCTGGAGGACAGAGCGGCACCACTCACCTCACGGCCCGGTTGGATGCTCGCGGGGGAATCCGGTACACGTTGACCTCAGGTTTTACACAGAGCACAGACTCGTACTCAGACTGACCCTCGGACGCCATCTTGACTCTTCGGTGGCGGATAAACGACGGGCTGTGAGCGTGGAGCGGGATGAGCCGTGTGGACACCACGTGACCCGCGGAGCGACGCGTGTCTTCGTTACGCACAGTGTGAAGTCACAATAACCACAATGAGGCAAAAGCAAAAGCCATGCTTCAATATTCTTCCTCAGTATGACATTCTCTCCATATATGTCTATGGAATCATGCAAGTTACATAATTCTATGTTTATATATAGTTATAGTGTATTATATGTGCAATAGTGTAGCTAATTAATTAAGTTAGTTAATTATTGTACTACAGCCAAAAAGATATTTCTAGTCTTATAAACATCATCATAAACAACTAATCATTCTTCATTCATTCATTATCAAAGTAATCATTGGTGAACTGTGGAGGAATATAAAAAGCAGGGCCCAATAAGCTTTGTATATATGTATATATATATATATATATATATATATATATATATATATATATATATATATATATATATATAATATAATATATATATATATATATATATTATGCCGAAAAATACAAATAAGGATCATTCTATACAAATACACAAAAGACAAACTTAAAATAAAACAAAAACCAGGGCATAGATTTATATGTTTGTTGTCATCTGTAAATGTAAAGGGCATGTATCAATAATAGAATACGTTATAGAATAAATGAATAGGAGCAAGAGAGGACAAGAGTACAATATTGGTGTATATGTATCAGTTTATTTGTGTTAAAGCAAACAAGATTTTTTTGTTTTAAAAAACAGTGACTTTTATTTATTGAATCTCTGAATTCCTCAGGTTTCTCATTCTCAGGTGAAGAATAGGGAATGACTTGAAAACAAAACTCCAAAAGTTGAAGTCGTCCACTAAAGGCTTGTGTCACAACAGCCCAAGGAGTCTAAAGGCATCTCTGAAATCGTCTGCATCATCACATGTCTGTAAGAGTAGAAATAATGTCAGATAAAAGTTGTAAGGATACGAGTAGGGTTTTGTACTTATCACTTTGGAAGAAGCTTACTTGAAGGATCTGGCTAAGTGTGCTGCTCAATCGTACTGAGTTTTGGTGAAGCCCTTCCCAGGCCCTGAAGCTGGCCTGGTTCTGAGCCACAAAGGTTTTCCAGCAGTAACAATAGTCTATAAAACAACCATATTCAATGTATTGTTGGTTAGAAAGGTTAAATTGTTTATTTGGTGTTTGTGTAGCTCCAGTTTGGATGTAGAGTATTGTTTAGTCCTTTCTGCAGTATAGGGTAAAATTCCAAATTGTCTTAATGGGTTTTTAGGGTTCCAAAACGCATTTGACTTTGAACAGAAATAACTTGAAAAATAAACAAACACAACATTAGAAAGTAAGAAAAGAATGTTCCCTATTTGATATAGTGAAAACTGTTTTTTTAGATGAAAGTGAAAGGGTCTCCTTTCATTCCTCAAATCAAGAAAATACTTATATATGAAATAAATCAACATCTAAAGTCATTATAACTAATCTAGTTGAATCTTCTTGCAGAGTAACTTGGCATTTCAATGCCATATATTGTTTAATATTCTCCGTAATTCAATGCCATTTCCTCAGATACAAGCACTGCACCCTTACTCATTAAGCATTAAGATTCTACCTTTATATTTCATGACTGTTATTTTCACTCCTGCTCTTGTCAGCATCCTCAGACCCTCTCGCTCCAGGCTCTCCTCCTGGTCGCAGAAGTAAAGGCGGGAGACGAAGATGCGGAGCCGCAGGTTTGGAGTCTGAGTGAGGAGCTGTGTGAGTTTGGAGGAGCAGTCGGCACAAGGAGACCAGGAGCAGAACCAGGTGATGGAGTAATTCAGGGGTCTGCTCTGCCCAGGGCCTCCCCACAGACCAGGGCACAGCACACCCAGGTAACGCAGGAACAGCATCTGAAGACACGGCACACATTATCAGAGGTGTGTTTGGAAGATTACACCAACCTTTTGTACAATAGAATTACTGTTATACAAAATTATGTATTGCTATATTTCTTTAAATACAGCAGTGCTTTAAATCTGCACTTTTGCCGTTAAAGGTGCATTATGTAACTTTACTTTTGCAGATGATATTAGTGTGTCATTAAACTAAACCTGCTCTTCAATGCCTAATCTCATCAGATGTCAGAAACTAAGCAGTGCAAGGTCTGGTTAGTACTTGACAGCTGTAGTTCCATGTGCCACAGTGCGACAGTTGTGTCTTTAGGCAAGGCACTATACCCACATCTGGTGGTTGCATAAATGATTGAGAGACTGCAGAAACTGCGCTCTAACACCAAGCTTGTCCATATTTCCCAGTACATCAGTGACAGACCTCGACGTGGCAGCCGCTTCGGTTGCGTAGGTGTCCGAAGTCGAAGGACTCAGAGTTTGGTCCGAGCCGTCTCTTCACCACAAAGCACAAGTACGTCTCATGTCGACCTCTCGCCCAGCGCATGTTTGTATAATGATAGATGAACTTCTTCTTTGGTAAAAGGACACTGAATCGAACAAATGAACCTTTGCATTAAAAGCTATTGTATATATAAAAAAAAACTTTAAGTGTTTGCCTGGATCAGTAAATATTTATGAATTAACTGTTTTTGTCATTGATAATAAAAAATTAAGATAAAACAAAACTCATAAAACTTCCAATTGTAATTCTCTTCCTCTTTTCTTTGTTTATATTATATCATACTAAAGGGATAATGTGTGTCAGTAACATAAATGCAAAGACTTTTTATAAAAATATATATTTTTATAAAAAGTATATTAAACTTAAAGTAAACTTTAATTTCATGTTATTTATAACTTGCAGAGTCAGAGTGAGTCTCAGTTACACAAGTTACACTGAAACTACGGCACAGCAACTGTATGAATACTTTTGAAAGCACTGATCAATGCCATCAAGGTTTTTGTTTGAAAAACAGTCAAACACAAGATCATAAATGATGCAACTCAACATATAAATAAATAACTCATCCTGTTGTACAGACCTGTCCAGTTTGGGCATTTTGAAAAAAGCGCTGTGACTTTGCGTTGGTTGTCAGGTGAAATTGGAGTTCAATGAGAAAGAGTGAAAGTGTGAGATGAGGGGAACTGAAAACATACCACTACTAAAGGTAAATATCCGGGTTCAAATAAACACAACATCTGGTTGGACAAAACAATTCAAAAGTTGCGCTCTTAAACGAGACAAATGAACCATGAGACAGAGATGTCATGGCCATATTTGTATTTTTGCGTTGGAAATGAAACCATGTTATTCTAAAGCCTAGACACAAAAACATGCTGTGGCTTAGTTTTTAAATCACAATATTATTAAAACATTTCAATCTTCCATTTTCAAAAACTCAGAGTGAGAGTAAATTGATCCATCTCCAATTATGTCACCAGGCCAAGTTACAGGTCAATTCTGCAGAGGCGAGCCCTCCTGTTTCAAGAAAGGATGGTTTTTACAGTGTTTTAGAACATTACAAAACACATCAAATTCAAAAAGGTTTAATTCCCTTCAGTCAAAGCTATAACAAAGACAAAAAGATATCATTACGCAATTGTCAACCAGACCAGAAACATCTGCACTTTAAACATATTAGTGTGATTACTAACTTTTGTACATCTCAGATTTTCCAGCAGGTAAAGTCCCTTCCTCGGGCCCCAAATTTGGTGGAACTTAAAAGCATTACGAATCCTTCAAGGTCTTGACATCTATTTAGTTCTCTCATTTGGAGTTTCCCAAAGTGAACACAAATAGATTATTTCAATATTTATTTCACCTCGAGAACTTTGTATGTTATTTTTGTGTGGCCAGTGTTTGAAAATACCAAACATCTGTCCATTATTTAATAGCCTGTTCCACAAACTCAGACCTGGTTTAAATCTTGATTAAATCCAACATACTGATACTTTCACCAAACAATTGTTTGTAGGTTGCTACTCCTTCCCTGTATTTGAGAAGTGAATATTACTTTTGTGTCTTGGGCACACACTTTTACCCTGTCTGTTCTCTCCGTCTCTGGTTCAGTGGCACTGCAGCGGCCCTTCTTTCCCATGACTCCCCTCACCCTCCGCTGCTCTCTGTGGTTTAGGGAATTCACCGTTTCCCAGGACGGCTGTTTTTGGAGCTGCTCTGAGTGCATGTGTGTGTGCCATCTGAAGGAGCACGTCATTAACACAGTCTATAGGTTATACATCATCTGGAACTAATTTCTCTAATTTATCCTTTGATTATGTGGTGCCCCAGCGTTTAGGCTGTTTCGTATGTGTGTGTCTCATGCACAGGGCACCCTCCCCCGTATTACATTACCCCGACAGTGCACAAACTTAATGTCTCTGCACATTTCTTGTGTCTCCTCCACTTCAGGATGGATGCCAAACTCTATGTAACCACTTCCCACCCAGCTCTTTGGTCTGACCACAGCTGACCAAGGTCATCACTGTGCTTTACATGAACTCTTCTCCTCTCGTGTAGTGTCAGTGTGGTGCAGAGGTCCAGCTGGACCAGACATGGCTGTACATTTAACCCGTGCTCAGGGGCACAAACCGGGTGTAAGAAACGCCAAGTCATACTTTCCGAAACCCACCCGCCCACGCCCAGCGCAGCTCTCACATACACACTCACCATACCGTGCAGACGCACATAACCACAGTCGCAAACAGACTGTTTCCAGTGTGTGAACTCACATCTGTTTCCTGACAACAATAATAGTTTAGATCAAACAGAGCCGTCAGGTGCCTGGCTTGACAGTGAGGATCCTGACATGCACCAAGTGTCAGAAAAACACGAGGGCTTTTTGTACAGAGCGTGTGCATAGGCGATTGCTTTGTAGTTATTTTGATTGATCTAAATAAAATAGACCAGGTAAAGTCAAGTCATACTGTACACATCCTGTGTAAAGTTCATCTAAACCACTGACACTGAGGTGAGTGAGTAAACCTGAACCACAGCTTCAAATGTGATAACCACTACTTTCAATGAAGAATAGTTTCACTCTATATTTCAGTCTGAAGGTTATCAAAACATACACAGATACACAGAACTTTGATTGTATAAATATATGCAGCCATGGCACCAAATTCTTTTGGCTTAGCCTTAAAAAAATTCTAAGCCTAGCAAACATTTTCTTCATAATTGTAAAGAATAAATATTGCAAAAACACAACCACCACAATAAATTATGAATAAAGTGTATAGATAAATGAAACACAGAATCTCCTCTCTCCTCACAAGTCTTTGTAAAACACCTTTGTGAGCGGGTATCCCATAAAACCTCTTTCTGGAGTTTCTAATTGCAACTCTTTGTCCTCATCCTCCTCCAGGTCTTGACCTAGAAGTCGAAAGCCCAACTTCCTGAAGAACACCTCTCCCACTTTGGATGGATATGGGACATGCACATAGACTCTGTGGGTCCCCGTGTCTGTCTCTTTCAGATGCAGACTTTGCACCAGCAGTCGTCCCAGGCCCTCGCGGCGATACCAAGAGCTGACCACCACTCTACAGATGCGGACAATGCCTGGTCTCCGTGGGCTCTCCCTGAAGACACAGCCTTGAATCTCTCCATCGCACTCAGCCACCCACACCTGCCCGGCCGCCTCTGCGCGATCTGGACTGATGCTTTCTGTTGAGACGCTCTTCTCTTTGGCTCCTAAACGCCGTCTGGGCTAAAAAACAAACAACGATCATGTTAGTTGAGTTGATTCCCAAACTGTACAAGCAGAGGGTGATCAAAAATAGGAGATGCGTTGCCATACATTTAATACAAATTGTTTTGTATTAAAAATGTTAAAACCAGAAACCAGCAATACAAACATTGTTTCATCCGATTTAGAACAATATAACTTTTTGACACATTTTCAACACTGAGATATTCCTTTTTGCAAATGAACTCTTCAAACATAAGAGAACATCAAAGCAGCCGTGATGACACAATATTTATAACAATGTAAACATTGTGACACTTCAAATAGGAACTTCTTATTGGAAGTGCATCAGAGAGCCACATTCAGACACATAAATACACCACAGTATTTCCAAGCTTATTTCCATATTTATCCTTTATGTGACCAGGAAAATTCCTTTAAGAATAGAGGATTAAGAATGTCTTGGAGGGAGGAGTAAATGGCGCTCTAAAATGAGAGAAAACAGGAGCATCTGGAGACACAAACATGCACTACACACTTAAAAGGCTCCACCCCAGTTGAGCTGTGTTGTGTGTCAGAAGTGCTAACCACTGCGCCACTGTGAAGCCTTAATGTTCAGTCTGCTTTACGTCAAAACATTTTATTATTGAGGTCAACATTAAACATATGCCTATTCAGCAAAAAGTACGATTAAGTATAAAGGTGGGCACCGGCGGATTTAAAATGCTGCCAGTACCGGCAAATAGAAGACACATGTTACCCCGTTTCCATGCTTGTCTGGACTGTCTAGGCCTTCGTCATAGGAGATGGTGTGACGTGTCTCTTATCAGCTGTTGTTACCGGATGTGGCCAGTCTGACGGATTCGGCAGATCCGTCAGACTGGCCACGCCCCCTGAGACTTCACCATCCCGGTGATGGTGAATTTCTATGTCCAGAAATGCTCCTACTTCTCCTTCAGAAGTGACGACAGCTGATAAGAGACACGTCACAGCATCATCACCCACCACTCGCCCCATTCTGGCACCTGGTGCCATATGGTGCTTTTCCATAGTCCTGGAACGGTACGGCACGGCACTACACGGTTTTTGTGCTTTTCCTGCCCTACTTTTGCTTCAAAGGTGTGACAGGAACTGGCTTCACATGCAGGTAGCAGCACTTTGCTCCGTTATCCACATGGATCAACATAAAAATGTTCAAACATATTTTTTACCAGGGGGATTTCACACAGGAAAGAGCAGCATGTGCAAAAGTGAAAACTTTAACAGTTAGAGCTCCACTCTTGTTAGACAGCCTGTTAATTAATAGGTTTATATTGAGTAAATAAGATCAATTGTTATTATTATTATGAATATTAGGACATAAAGCCTTCATCCTGTTTTGGGATCGGATAATCAAAACTCTAAATGTTAACATAAACAACAAGGTCATCATGCTCAATGTTTATGTATTAAAGAATTACAGAATCATAATTATTGTCAGCAACATTCCTCTAATCTGGGGACATGAAATGGTAACATAAACCCCTGGTCTAAATAATGAAAATACTGACTCTTTTTGCTGTAGATGTCTTTCCACTGAGTCGACAGTAAGGGTTTGGCAGAGTCTCCTCTTGTGTGTCTCTGCACGCGCTGCCCACATAGTCCCAGGACGGTCGACTGCTGCCCAGGACCCCGACTGACCGCGGCATGGTGATCTTCAAGAAGATGATCAGCAGGAAGACGGGGATTGCCAGAGCCAGGATGAAGGAGTGAACCAGGCAGCGCAGGACAGATGAGAAGACCGCCAGGATGAAGAGACAGAGCGGCCGCGTAACAACGTGTAGAATCAGCCGGTTTTCTGTTCCCTCGCAGCCCTCCTGCAAACAAATCACAAAGTATTAAAAGTGGCTGATATATTGAATACAGGCGTTAAAAGAATCATGTAATGAAGATGCTTGGTGATAAAAGGATAAGTAAATCCACACATTTATTTGCTATGGCAGCTGTTTGGAAGATTTGAAATGTATTCCAATCCTGCATTGACAGATTGACTGTCGGTAGTTATGGAAAGAGGAGGAATTATAGTAATATATGAGACATTAGACTTTGGTTTCATTTTTTTTTTTTTTTTCCCAAAATGATTCTTTTTTTTAAATCCTAAAGACATGCACAGAGGTTGGCACATGGGGGGTCTAATGCAACCTGCTCTGCGTAAAATTTCATAAAATTCATGTCTCAAGATGTCTGACGAAACAGCAACTCTATATTGCCCCCTGTAAATTTCAAATTTGCAAAGCTTATGGGAGCCAGACATACATATTTTAGGGTAGGTATACAAAATTCAGATCAGTGATAGATCTCGATTTGACGAGCCGAACTCTCTTGGTCTGGGACAATCAGGAAGTCGGCCATGATTGTCTGAAGTTTCTCCGCCAATTTGACTTTTCATCTTGGATTTGAACTTATTTCCCTGGTTTTTCTTCATACAGACTTCTACCATGTCATTTCCCAATCTGGACGAATTTAAGTAGTATAATCCCTTGAAAAAAAAATTTAATTCTTGGCGAAGACATGGCAGATAAGGCCTTCATTTTGGGTGTTTTGGCTGAGCCCTCAGGACCACAGGCTCAGACCTACAGAGCTGAAACTCACATCACTAACCGCCGTTAATGGCCTGTATGAAAAGGTGTGATAATACACACCTACTATGGCTCTACAGCGCCACTTATGGGAGGTTTCTGACGTAAACTTTTTGCAGTCAAATCTTTACATCTGTACGAGCAAAATACTACATTACGCAAGGGTGCATGTCCCTCAGGTGACCACAAGGTGCGCACTGAATCCTATTATTATACGGCTCCTCACAGCAGCATTGATTTGAATGTAATTTCAAAACGTTCTACCGGTCATTATTTTCTATAACGGATCTCTCAAAACAATAATGACCGCTGCCCATGGCAACGCACTCTCTGCTTGTCTTTCAGATGCGTGGATAACTCTGCAAGTAGTTCCGGCCACTCAGGAGCTAGCCACGCTCAATAAACGCAAATGCCAATCAATCAACACACTTAAATGTTAATCGGAGAATACTTATACTTATACATTCTTCACACACATGCACGGAGATTTTCAGAATTTACTGGTCTTGTCTTCATGACAAAAATACTATTTATCTGCGTTAAAAAGCGACCATGAAAAACCCGGAAGTAGTTTCCGTGTACGTTTTCATGACAAAAACACTGATGTAATGCGAGAAAAGGCAATCCCGAAAAACCCGGAAGTAGATACCGGCACATTTTAGGACACATTTGCAGAGGATCGAATTATGGATTTAGGTTAGGTTTATGTTTGGGTCACTCACCGCTGATGTTCACAATTCTTTGTTCATTTTTCATGCAGTTCCAGGGAGTTCTAGTTTGGAAGTTGATAGCCTAACTGTTGCTAGCATAACCACGGGAAAGCCTTGGGAACTATTTTATTGTCTTTCTTATTTTAAATAAACCTTTCGGCATTCCTAAAAGTGGACTGAAGTTTATGTTGTGTGTTCTGTTGGTATAAAGCGGGATAACGTATATTACGCAGGTCATTATCGGAAAATAAGTACCAACAGGGCGAAGCGGACCCCGACGCGCTGCTTCCGCCCTGCGTAATATACGTTATCCCTTACTTAATGAGCTTTTACGTGTGCAACTCTGGTCCTATCAGGCTGCAAATTCATTGGCAAGTACACTGCATGCTGCTTATGGGGCTGGCGCCTGGGAGGCGGATGCGAAAGTGGCGAGGGCTTTCATTGCCGCTTGCAGCTTTAGTTTTAAATATTTATTTCACAATATAGTACAGGGTTGATGGTAAGAAATGAGGCCGACTCCTATAAAAATAAATGATGTAGAATGTAGAAAGTACCGACCTCACCTTAATGAGAGCTTTGACTATTTCAATATCCTCCTCCTTCATCCTCCTCATCACGACCTTATCCAGCTCCAGTCGAACCATTCTGTCTGTTGATGACCGTGGCTGCTGTTAACAACTTTGCATTTTTGGGCTCATCCTAAATGCTCTCCCCAGAATCTGAAAGGTTTAGAGAGAGGCAACACGAAAGCAGTATTTCCCATTTAGATATTTTCTCTAGGATTATGAAACAAGCAAAAGGTTTAGTTATAGACAAGTCCCCTCTAAGTTTTCATAGAACATATGCAATGCATGGTTACAATAAGACTGGACCGTGGACTGGACGCTACGACACAATAGTCAACATTACTCACTGTATTCGTTGATGACAAAATTATGACAACCACTGATTATGCATAATTTTCCCATACACCCTTTAACCTATAGAGAAACCAGTTTGGCCACCGGTCTTTTTGTTGACAATTCACGATTTAAAGGATGTGACGGAATGAGCCACCTAACGACAAGCCAAAAAAAGTATTTATAATTCTGAAAACTGACCCCGTCATTTAATCCGTGGGGGTTGTGACAGTGTGACAGCATGCTACTGTTATGCTACCTTGAGCTATTGCTACATCGTACTATGCATTCGTTCAAACGGTACGCACCTTATCAAAGCCCTTCATCTCTTTGCATTGTTCCGGATGTTTGGTTGAATCATAGACTGTATATTGAATGTGTACAGCAGGTTATTGAACAGAATCGCCACTATTTTAGTAGAACGTGCACTGTCTTCTTGCAGCTAGTCCCTGTTGCGGTATTGCAGATTTACGCAATTTACGTAAGTGACGTACGCTAGTAACGGGGGAATACGCGCATATTACATTAGCAGGGATTCCCAAACTGTTCAGGCAGGAACCCCGAAACAGGCATGCCACACTGGTGTGTGTACGACTTAATATAGCAATGATTTCAAGCTTCAACACATTTAATTTTAAATAGTGTGCAAGTAATGTATTGTGATGTTCAGTAATAGTTTGTAACTGAAGGATTGTAAAATTATAATAGAAATGGTAATAAATGTTTTGGGTGGGTGCCCCTTGGGTGGTCAGACAGAGCCAATTAGGCCTTTATTGCCACATAGCATAAGACTATTTCTTACCATCTATCTGTCTATCTATTGCCATTATGTTTAATAATAAAAAATTGTATTAAATTTTTATTTAATGTAAACATTATGTTACAAGTTTTTGAAGTGGCCACCCTACACAGCATAGAGGAGGAAAGAAAAACACATTTGTGCAATTTGTTACAATGTATTGATTCGGAATTAGTATAACGTTTTACATTAACATAGCCTATATAATACAAAGTGAACATTTATTCACAAAAATCTTTAATAAACAACCTGCCAATGACAGAATAATTTATAGTAATATATTAGTTAGCCTATAACAAAGTCCATGTGCAGCCTATGTAAATGTATAACATTTCTATAGTGGCCCATGGTGTCAGTCGGACATGATGCATGTTCTTCAGGCCACAGACTAAAGTGCTTAACACTGACCACACAGACCTGGTTCACATGCAGTCAGCAGAGAGTCTATTTTAGGTCTTCTAAGGCCCGTTTGCCTTCATTAACCGAGTCGAGGTCCTTGTTATCCATTTTTATACTCTGACATTGATCATTTGCTATTTTGCCCCCGCCTGCAGTTTGTTGTCCATTTTCTATTCCACTTGTATTTACCTCAATTATAACAATCTCCTGTCCACCTGAAAGTTGAAAAATACCTTCCATTGCTTCGCCATGTTGACCAACCGCGTCACCTCTTGTATCATCTCCCACCTCATCTCTTTCAATCAGAGCGATCATCTGCATTCTTTCTTCTTGCTCAGGTCCAATCTTTGAATCTCCTCCCAGTTCAAAGACCACCTCTTGTCTGTCTAAAGATCCTAGCCCCTGGTTTGATGTGCAAGTTAGTTTCAAGCCATTATTTCCTTGCTCACAGTGAAATTGTGAATCATTTGCAGTCGTGTGCTGGTCCTCGGAGTGAAAATGTAAAACATATTCCCTCTGATCGCCCTCAACTTCCTTATCGCTGTTCTTTTCATTTGTCCAATTTTGCAAAAGCGACATTATTCTTTCTTTTTTGTCATCTATGTCTTGGTCTGCATTGAATTGCAACAAGAGAGACTTTCCCTGTGTTCCCATTTCTTCCCCTATTGACTGACTCGACCCTTCCCCCTCAAAATGTAGCATGTATGAATCGCCTCCCCCCTCCACGTCCATCGCATCCTTAGTAAGTCCTTCATTGTCAAAACATAAAACAAATTCTTTACCCGATACATGATCTTGTGCAGTAATTTCTGAACTGGAGATGGACGCTGTAGTTTTAGTTTGGTCCATGAGTTCTGAGCGACCCACAGAAATGGCTGCTTGGGTTGGACTTGTGTTAGAAGTTGAAATGGAATTGTGTGGAAGAGAAGGCAGTGGTTGCTCTGTCGCTTTGGTCCTTTTCGTTGCAGAATTGCTGTTGGATAAACTTGCCTGTTCAGTCTTCTGTTCAGCAGCTTTGCTTTTACGTCCACGCTTGCTCCTAGCAGTCCGCGTGCTTTTTCCTAAAATAGGCCTAGAGAAAAGTGAATTAGGTGGCAGTGTGTGTGACGGTGACGCAGTGATAATTCCTTTTGCGTCGCTTTTGCTCTTAGTGAAGATAAGCGTTTGTTGCTGTAGCGGATTATGAAATTGCTGTGTTTGGCTGATGACCGGCTGGAGAGTCTGAATAGTCTGCAGCATCGAGAGGGGCTGAGGTTCGGAGGGAGACGCCGTCGGAACGAGAATCAGGTTCGACTGGCCACCGTTATTGGAGGGACACTGCAAAAGGAGGTAATTCTGCGGAGGGGGAGGCGGAGGAGGCGGAGGGGTTGGCGTTGGAGTCGAAAGAGGTATAAGCTGGAGGCCATTGACTGTTTGAATCATGAAATAATTTTGTGATGAATTGAGAGGGATGTTCAAAGCTGGTTGTGAGACGATGAGACTGCCATTGTTTGCGGATGTTTCCAGTGTAATGGGGTTTAGAAGTGTTGTGGTCGTGGTAACTCCGCCGACGTTAGCCTTCACTGCTACTCCATCCTTGGCCCCCCCAGAGGACGCAGGGACAGAGGGGGTGTTGGAGTGGGTGCGGATGTGGCGCTGCAGGTAGGATTGCATGACAAACTCCTTGGAGCAGAAGGGGCATTTGAAGTCCTTCTGTGTGGAGTGAGTGCGTAAGTGCAGCTGGAGGTTGGAAGAGTGAGTGAAGCTTTTGTTGCAGGTTGTGCACTGGTACGGCCGCTCGCCTGAGTGGGTCCGCTCGTGCTGAGAGAGGGGGAAACAAGAAGGGGAGTAGATGAGGCATTTATGACAGACAATTCTCACAGATTATTGCAGACGTTTCTTCCTACAGTTTACATAAATCAGACACAAACAATGATGGTTTTTAGGGATGCACAATATATCGGTATAAATATTGATATCGGACTGATGAGTACAATTGGGCCGATCGGCGCAAAAGTCCTCAAAAGGGACAGGAAGTCAATCTCCCCATTAGGAGCTATGTAAATATTCACTGATTCCGAGTCAGAATGCTCTTTTTCTGTGGGTGTACAGTTGTGGCAACTGCTCATATCAAGTGGAGACCTTTCTATTGCATGAAATGCATTTCTCTTACAGGTGTCGCAGCACCTGCCAGACACAGCTGAAAGACTCAGTCTTCATTTGGTGACTTTCAGAGATACAATGCAGTATTTTTGTGTGGTATACGGTTGTAGTAACCAAGGTAACGGGGAGAAAGAACTTTATTTTTTCCCTATGGGGACAATAAAGTGCACATTTACATTTAAATACAAATTTCTTAATGCCAACGGTCGTCTCAAACCAAACTAAACTAAAAGCAGACCTTACAATCTAAGTCTTCTCACACAGATGCAAGCCATTGTGTTATAGAGTGTTCATTGTTATTTCCACGACTGGGACTGTGAGGACCAGGGTAATGTCTGAAGTTGTATCCAAGCTCTGTGCCCCGCAAGGACGGCTGCGTTAGTTGCAGCCCCCGCTGTTAGCTTAATACTGTGGAGCGTCCCCCTGGAGCTTAAGTCCAAACTTCTTATTATTTACAGCTTAACAAATCACCGAAATGACTATAAAGGATCACATTTCTCGCCTCATTTTATTTAAGAAGCTAAACTATTTTCTACTGAGTTCAAAACAATGCATAATACTACCTACAAGTTGTTTTAAAATTTAATTGAAAACTTGAGCTCATTGATTCAGCTTGTGCATGAATTCAGGCCGTAAAAAGTGCTGAGTAGAATGCTAGCTCTCCTCCAATCACAGGACGAGGAGGCAGCCTGTTTGCACTCGCGTCTACAGTGCAAGTAAACCATGAATCTATGAGGTAAACACAGCAGCATGGCAGCTAATAGCGGCTATAGCTCCTCTTGCTGTAACTGCAGACACAGCTAAACAGCCCAAACGATGCAACAGTGACAAAGAGAAGAGAGTGCTAAACATTCAAACGAAAAAAAAACCTTGCAGAAACGGGTATAGCTCCTTTAATGATCCGGACCTGTCATCTTTGACATGGTTCTGTTGACTCGGGAGCTGGCTGTGCACGTGCAGTGATTCGCTGTTTCGATTTGTCAATCACCTCCTGGATGTTAGGATTATTATTATTATTTTTTACGACAACTAGCATATTTATTGTGTATTGTTTTCCCTGTTTTGACGACAGTATTTAAGAACCATCTAAAGTCCTACATGTCACATTCGTCATCGATGTTGAAATCGTCATAGATGTAGACCCGGGCGTTTCGCTGCCTCTCAAGAATGAAAGAAAGATCGCTTTCTAACTTAAGCTTGAAGAAATCAAATGAAAATAACACTCTGGGCATGTGTTTGAAGCCAAATAGCACTGTAACAATGTTTGAAGTAGAGAAAAGTCAAAAAGTATAACATGGCAGCTTTAAGGATGTGGAACCTTTCTAATCCTTACATGAGTATTATAATATAACAAAGATACTACCAATAAACCTGCTCTGCATTTTAATGAAATACATGGCTAACAGTATACAAAACCATAAGAGATTCCAACACCAACCTGTTTGAGATTTGAGGTTTGGGAGAAGGACTTAGAGCAGATGGGGCAGACGTGAGGCCTCAGCCCTGAATGCATCTGACTGTGTCTGCGCAGACAGCTGGTGTTTTTGAAGGACTTTCCACACTCCTTACACACGTACGGCCGCTCGCCCGTGTGCTGTCTCAGGTGGTACTGATAGTGTGAGCTCCACTTGAATGTGAGAGGGCAATGAGGGCACTGGAACGCCCGCACTCCGGTGTGAACCTACACACAACCAATGGACCACCGTGAAGACAGGGAAGGCTCAGGAGAAAGCTTCTCTTAACACCTCATTTATGAAGATGTAATTAGGCAAAATATGTAAATTTTTGACTACAGTTGGTGGGTAAGAAGGTTGGCCTTACCCTTTGGTGGATGGAGAGGAGGGAGGAGCGTTTGAAGCTCTTCCCACATTCAGTGCAGCGGTAGGGCCGTTCTCCAGTGTGATCTCTCATGTGGTACTTCAGACCAGAGGAGCCTTTAAAGGCCTTTCCACACTCAGAGCAGCGGTATGGCCTTTCTGCACAAACACAATCACGCTTCATCACCCTCAAGATAGTAATAAATGGCACTTTAAAGTTAGAATGTCTAAGGTTTTGTGTCAAAGAATCCATAATGTTTTTGTCCAACAGAAAGTCTTGTAAAAGAAACAAATCAAACCATAACATAATGTCTTTGTTTTATCTCTTTATCTTTAACCAACCTCTCCCTGTACACCAACCACTGCACCTCCAGCCACGACTCCGTGAAGCTGATCAAGTTCGCGGACGACACCACCCTCATTGGACTCATCTCCAACAACGATGAGTCCGCCTACAGGAGGGAGGTGGACCGGCTGGTGTCCTGGTGCAGTGGTAACAACCTGGAGCTGAACGCCCAGAAGACAGTGGAGATGATTGTGGACTTCAGGAAGAGCACTGTCCCCCCGCCCCCACCCTCCGTGATGGACTCCCCCATCACCTCTGTGGAGTCCTTCCGTTTCCTGGGCACCACCATCACCCAGGACCTCAAGTGGGAGCCGACCATCAGCTCCCTCATCAAGAAGGCCCAGCAGAGGATGTACTTCCTGCGGCAGCTCAGGAAAGCCAAGCTGCCTGCACAGATGTTGGTGCAGTTCTACACGGCCATCATCGAGTCCATCCTCACCTCCTCCGTCACCGTGTGGTTCGCTGGAGCCACAGTCAGGGACAAACAGAGACTACAGCGCATTGTGCGCTCTGCAGAGGAAGTGATCGGCCGCAGCCTTCCATCGCTGCAGGACCTGTACGTCGCCCGAGCTCGAGGCCGGGCTGGTCGTATCACAGCCGACCCCTCTCACCCTGCACATGGACTATTCCAACCACTCCCCTCAGGCAGGAGGCTGCGGCCCATCAGGACTAGAACCTCCCGCCACAAGAACAGTTTCTTCCCCTCTGCTGTTGGACTCTTGAACACTTCTTAACCTGTCCCCCCGCCCTTTATAAAGTCACTTTACTGCCCATCATACGTCACTTTACTTCACTGTACTGCTGTCACCTTACATTGTGTGCACTTGTATACTGTAAATAGTAACTGTAACTCTATTTTAAATTTAAATTTATTCTTTAGAAGTGTTTTTTATTCTTTATTTTTACTCTTTATTTTTATTATCTCTTTCTGACTGTTGCATTGAGCCAAAGCAATTTCCAAGTCTGTGACTTCCTGTTACTTACGAGGCAATAAAAATGATTCTGATTATCTCTTTCATACTTGTAAGAGCCCTGTGGAGTTACCATTTGTCACTTTTGGCTGAGAGCTGATTTGATAAGTGAGGGTGGTCCTCTTTTTTTAACCTTTCTGCCTATAAAAAACTGATCTGAACATAATGGCTAAAAATAAAACAAAAAAACAACACATACCTGTGAAAACAGTATTGATATAACGAAACCGTAGGGCCAGCAACTATAGTGACGTGGATTCCATTACGGAGTTCCATTTTGGTTAGGTACCCTAGCTTTGATATATACAAGTACTTATAGTGATAAGTTCCATAATGAAGTTTGTATGAGAGCTCTTAAGTTTTCAATGGACGCAGACACTGGAGCCATGGTAATGAATTCAAAACGTATTTCTTTCTTTACAATTCTCAGGGTAACTGACTAAAAACACCAAACTGAACTGCAGATGTCTCTGCCCTGGCCAGTCATATTAAAAAGATGTCCTGAGCATGATTTACATTTCACTACAATCTATTGATGAATACGTTTTGAGTATTAATTTTACCTCCAGCCACTGTGCTTCTGCCACCGGCCTTCTTCAGTGCTTTGAGTGGTTTACTTTGCTGCTCTAAGTGGTCATTACCGACCGTGATGATATCCACACAGATGCCCCGCTCTTCCTCCTGCTGTTTGTCCGTTTGCCCAGGGGAGGAGGGCAGGGGCAGAGACAGGGACAGAGAAGGAGGGCATACGATTTCGGCCTCGGCTTCAGCCAAGAGTCTCTGCTCAGGAGTATGGGAGTGCTGGTGGGTGAGGAGGGAGGAGAGCAGGGGGAAGGAGCGGTCACAGGCGGAGCAGCTGAACTGACAGCGGGACTGCGATGAGAGCGCGTGCATCTGAAAAGAATAATAAGGATTTTACTTCACTTATAGATGTGGTCACTGGTCTGGTTAATTGATTCTGGTTTACTACTGATAACACATACAGGTGACAGATTCTCAAAACACAAGTTTCACCTGTCACTGAGAGTTTAGCAAAAAGAGCTGCATAAACTAAAACACACTGAATCACTGTTTTACAATTTCACAAAAATATCTTAATTTCACAGGATTGACAGGACAATTAGTTTTTCATAAATTGCCAAGGCCTAATTGAGGAGCATCTTATGTACAGAGATGTGTCAATGTTGGCGTTGCAGTGGTAAACTTCTCACCAAGGAGACATGTCTGTTGAGGCCTCCACTGGTTTTGAAGCTCTTGTTGCAATAGCCACATGACAGCCCTGCCCATGTGGTTCTGGGCTCCGGCTGCACAGTCTCCGAGCTCTGAGTCACCGCTGTCAGGCTCTGCAGAAGGTCAAACTGGGCCTGGGTGGCTCCCACATTCTTGGGACGAGCAAAGAAATGCATATAAATTAAAATGTTTTATGTCCAAAAATGCCTACTTTGTTTTGACCGTGTGAATAATGAATGTAGAACCTGACTCTGACTGCACTACTTACATTACTACTGTTGTCTGTAGCCTCCGTGAGTCCCAGCAGCACTTCTGCTGTTTGTCCATTATCTGAGACAGTGGTTGTCTCTACCACTTCTTCAAAGTCTGCCAGTAGGTGTCCAGCTCCCACCAGCCCCTCACCCACCACCATTGTGGCTGTGGGACCAGTGTCCATGGACGCAGACTCTGGAGCCATGTGAATGGACTGATGCTCCTCGAGCTCTGTCCTGGTGCCAAAGGTTTGGCTGCAGCTGCCACAGCTGTACAGCAGCACACTAGCCCCTGTGTCGGTGCTCAGGTGCACCTCGGTTCCGATGGGCCTGGACGAGCGAACATCCCCCCCTGATGCAGTAAGGGTGAGCTGGGGTAGCAGCCCGGAGTTCTGGCTGGTGGAACCACTGGACAAAAACACCTCCTCCATTCCCACTGCAACTCCTTCAGTTCCTTCTTGGCTCACAAATCCAACCATGTCCGTCAGCATGGACGATGTCACCTCCTCTGATCCCACCACTATTTCCACTACGCTGCTCCCCTTCTGTACGTCTGCTCTCTTGGCGTCCTTAGCTTCAGTGCTTGAGTTTGTATGAGAGTTTTTATGCAGTGCGAGGTTGGATGAGTGTGTAAAGCTGCGGCCACACTTGCCGCAGACGTACGGCCGCTCGCCTGTGTGGATCCTCATGTGCTGCCTCAGGTTCGTGGACTGTGTAAAAGACTTGTTACACACAGAGCACGTGTAGGGCTTCAGACCCAGGTGGACGTTCTTATGCCTCCGCAGACTACTGGAGTTCTTGAAGGCCTTGGGGCAGGAGTCGCAGGGATAGGGGCACTCGCCTGTGTGCTGCCGCAGATGATACTGATAGTGAGAGCTCCATTTGAAAGTCAGAGGACAGTAAGGGCACAGGAAGGTCCGCACTCCAGTATGGACACTCTGGTGGACCTGAAACCACATTATCCAGATTTTAAGCAAAACAACCTCATTGTTTTAGAAGCAAAATTGTTTGCTGTTCACCTGCAGCAGAGAAGAGCGTTTGAAAGCTTTTCCACAGTCTTGACATTTGTATGGCTTCTCACCAGAATGGGACCTACAGAAATAAAAGGAAATTATTAGATTTTGGCTACATTTACTCAGAATAAGCCCTTTTAGAAATATTTTTTGATAAGAGGACGACTTTTAAAAATGTTTCTCCAACCAGGGATCTGTCCTGGATGACAAAGGGACAACACAGACTCGTTTACAGTGCAAACATGTACCTTTGGTGATAGAGCAGAGCAGACGATCCTTTGAAGGCCTTAGGGCAGAGGTTGCAGCGGTATGGACGCTCGTTGTTGTGGCTGCGCTGGTGATGTGTGAGTCTGGACGACCACCTGAACGTCTTTCCACAGTCCAAGCACTGAAACGGCAGCTCCGACTGCTCCGGCTGCACCGAGGAGGGAACGTCAACCACCTCCACTCCACTCTCAGAACCCGTTTTGTCTTCGTCCGGCAGCTCTCCTCTGTCCCGATCGTCCTCCCCTTCTTCCCCCGACCCAAGAAGGGACGGGAACGGAGACTGCGGCGGCATTAGGTCCGTCTGAACCTCCAAAGATCCAGAGTTTGCCATTTTTCAGAACTTGTGGTAGATGAGGTTGTTTTGTTTAGTTACTATTTATTCATAACTATAAGCATCCACTTTCCCCACTTTCAATAGACGTCTTTGTGGAAGCCTCCACGTGACTTGGGAAAAACCTTAAAGAACGAAAATTAAAAAGTCAATAATAGTTTTCAACTTAAGAATCTGTCCATTTTCTTACATGCGATACAATTCAATTTGCTTGAATACAATATTCAAGAAACATTCCCAATATTCTTCATTGGTAAAAGCGGGTACATATAAACAGAAATTAGACTAGGTTTTGAGGGAAGAGTTTTTCACCAGGATCCTGCCAATCGTTGCGACCTTGGGACGGCCCTCTCACAACATTTCCATTTTCTAGTCAATTGGCTGTTCTCACATCTCCCCATAATCATGAAATGGATGAAAGGACGTCTACTCTTTTACCCATTTGCTTCATTCATTCATTACAAATCTTGGGACAACTACATACATTTCTCAAATGTATGTAGTTATTCGTGCTGTATTGTAATGTATTTTCTCATAGTGGTCTTTTACTTTTGTGCAAGTGATTTCTACCAAGTCATACATGCAGATTAAAGATTGGGTTTCCAACATCCATATTTTCCATATAATAATCCATGTTGTTTGTCTCTGCTCTGTCAACAGAACATACGGTCTTTATCCTATAGACAAGTTATCTTTGCATACTTGTAAAGAAGCTCTGAGTTCTTTTTATGTCTAGAACCAAACTGTTTTAAGGAGCAAGGAACATGGATTTTACAGAGACAATGTGTTGGTGCTTTGAAAGTTAGGTACTGCAGGTTTAGTAAAAGGAAACAATTCAGATTAATAGTTTACAAAAAATCTCTAATCAACCATTATTTTCATTAATCAACTAATGCCCTAGAAATACATGTTTATCTGGAAGTTTAAAACTCCAGGCATGCATGTAGATTAGTTGACTGCCTTTTATGGGAGATGGTTAGGGCCAGGTGTTTTGCATGCTTAATGGTTTGAATGAAGACACATGTAGGACATAATATAACTTTAAACGTCCCTCCCTCTCTGGCCATGCGCCTCCTCTCAGCCCGTCTCTGGTGGCTGTCATTTGTCCCTGTTTGGCCATCCCCCCGCAGTGCAGCATAGGCAACCCAAACAAACCCAAACAAACCCAAAATCCCTCACTCCAACCCCATCCTGTGCCTTCAAAGCAACACTAGAATCTGATCCAAGTGCATCTCAAAACGGAACAAGTTTTACGCGCTGTGCAAACATTCAATGGCCTACATTTTAAAGCCAAACGCGTCTCCATTATGCTGAAAAAATGCTGCTCCCACGAAACCTGAGAAGAGCCGACAGCGCAAACACACAGCTTACCATTCATTTTGGAGTTATATTAACACAGCAGTGGTGGAGATTGAAAGGGGTTCCGCAGTGCTAATCCACACAACCTTAACAATAAACACAGGCACAAACTAACCAGCAGTCCTCCGCCCGACACCGCCTCCCAACAACAGCCTCTCTGATTGGCTCTGAGCTCGGGATGAAGCGCTTCTATGATTGGGCGCTCTGGTCTGCAGATGGATTGACATTATTGCTTGGGAGGTAAATTGTTCACAAATTCAGCTTTCATGTATTGAGCAAAAAAAGAAAGAAAAGAAAACAAGTCTGATATATAATACATAAGTATGTGTGAGTGTGTGAGTGGGCAGACACCAGGACATCATTCTATTGAGCACATTCATTTATTTAATTTCAGCAAGGCACAATTCACATTAAGGCCAATCAGTGTGTGGAAGAGGCATTTGATGTTACAATAATAATAATCATAATAATAATTTAAACAGGATGGTAGTAAATAAGAATAAAAACTGTATAAAAAGTACAAAAGAATGGGAGACTCGCTCCACTGCAGTCAAAAATAAATAGATCCATCAAAGTTCTCAAATAAATAGCAAATACTGTTACAAATACTTGGAAATAAGAATAATCAAAATTATAGTGATAAGAATTCTACAACATATTGTAGCACAAAGCACTGAATGCAATTCTATACACTCATGTACACATATGTACAGAACAGTGTCAAAATACATAGTATTTTAAGGCTTTAGGGGTACTTATTTTTTATCGTAAAAATACTTTTTCTACCCCAAAGCACAGGTTAAAAATCAGCCAAAGGCCAATTTCAACAAGTGTGTGCAAAGAATCCAGGTCCATCAGTGCTCGACAGCTGGCTGCATCACGCAACCTACCACAAAGTTCAGTATTCACTTCTTCATGATGCAATAAACATGTAAAAGACATTTACACATCATCAGGTTTTATCACACAGGGAAACTAAAAACTGATATCTTCTAAAATATTAATATTTTTGTTTTAAAAATATTAAATGGGAGAATTGTAAAATCACTAAAACTAATCCCTAACAAACGAAATAATGTAAAATTTAAAATATGTCTTAAATTAAGTAAAGTACTATGTAAATGTGTCTACAATGTTGTGGCCTACCAGACAAGGAAACAAGACACAATACAATATGAAATAAATAACATTAAATAAAATAGTTTAAAACATTCAATAAATAAATAAATACATAAATAATCATATCCCCACGGCGTCCGCAAGAATTAAACTGGTACAAGTCCGTGTGCTTAGAATCTGGCTGAGTCAACACAGTGCAGCACATACATAGGAGTTTATGAAGGAACATTCTTCAGTATACAGTACAACAGTATTGTATGGGCCAGTCCGGAGCCCCTAGCTGCATGTAACTCATTGTGCGATGGACCAAGTGGAGTGGGGGTCATCATTGGGACTGGGTGGTGGTGTTGTTTGCAGATATCTTTGGCTTTAGGCTAATGAAGGCTCTATAGGCCCAGTCACAGAAGAGCTTGAAGTGCTGGAGGAGCTCGTGGGTGGACTGCAGGACGTCGATGTGATAGGGCAGGTGAGGGGGGAGGGAGGGGGTGGCTGGGGTAAGCTTTGGGGCCTCCACTTTCAGCATCTGAGAGGGAAAAGGGGAAATTATCCATCAACTGCATACAACCTCATCAATGCCTCAAATAGCAAGGGATTATTACCAAACTAGAAAACAAATGAGGAAATGACTGGCACTGACACTGGTATGAAGTATTAGGAGTAGGCTGGTTTATTAGTATAAAAATACTAATTATATAATATAATATATTGCATTATATTTCAGTGTAAAATTGAACATGGTTAATGTTCACATCCTCATAGCTAACTTTGGTTAAACTGTGTTTTTCTTTAGGTATTTTATCCTAAAGCAACTACAGACCAGTTAATCTGGATTAATATCAAGCAATCTAATATCAATCGGCTTAACTGATGTAATAGAACCAAGTCCCAATTTCACACAAAATCTCTCCAATATTTATAAGTGATTTTTCTATTGTACGGATTGATCTCACAGTTTGTTTGTTTTTAGATAGAAAAAAAGACGTATCTATGCTTTTTCATAGACTTTTTATTGATTTTAGGCTGGAGGTGCCGTACCTGTCTGTGCAGCAGGTTCAGGAGCGATTTCATCTCACGGACCATCTCCATGAGCTTGGGCAGGGCGGGGTGGTGGTGCTTCTTGGACACTCTGTTGAGCCATTCAAAGTGATGCTCGTACAGCTTCAGATCAGCGTGCAGCTTCGAGAGCGTCGGCTTCAGCTGGAGACAACAAATTAGTTTAATATGAGATTTTTTTTAAACGTTGTTCCAACTGACACAGAAAGCGCAGCAACATTGAGATTCATAAGTCATTTCTAATTGTCAGCGGTTTACAAACTTGCAATGATAGCATCAAATAAACTATTTCTCATCACAATCTACACCATGAAACGGTCTAAAACATGATTTTTGTTGTTGTAGTTTTTGTTTGGTCTAAATTTAGCTAAACACTAAGTATTATTGTAAAAAAGACAACATTTTAAGACACAATTTATAAACTATAAACCGTAAATGTTTGAATTGATATGTTTTTTAAAAATCTGGATCAAAATACATTTTTACACATTTTAAAATGGGACAGTGCAGTAGCAATTATTTTCCATAATTTTCCCCAGTAGAATGTGGTTCTAGTAGTTTAACATCACAGTGTACAGAACGAATACATTTTCTTGTCTTATAAAAGATAAGAAATGTTTGCTTGGTCAATCAAACCTAATTAAAAAAATTATTTTACTTACTTTTTGTGAAAGAATAATGAATAATACTAACACTAATTTTACTGCAGAGGAGTCTCTCCTACAGAGGAGCCTTGTGTCTTGTAATGTAAAACAAACCAATCTCTGAAAGGAGAAGTTTAAATTACGTCTAAAGTAAATAAAGTCTGAATAATTGATATCCTGCCAATTTTTGTTTTATATTTTCATGGAATATAATTTTGTGATAGATGCCGCCCCATGGAGCATGAGCAATCTAAGACATAAAGAGCTGTCATTTACCTCCAGGCTGGTGAAGTCGTTGGCCGATCTGTTGCTCATTTCGGGCAGAGATTGGAACCTGTGTGGCTCCACGTCCGAGTCAAAGGCATGTTCCCGCTGCAAGAAAAAAAGAGCCTGTTAGTGCAAAGTCTATGGGATAAGTCAGCAAAAATGTCATTGTATCAGTGCATAGATACAAACTGAAACAAAACATATAACATTAATTTGAAGAATGGATACTGAAAGATAAACAGGACAAATAGTGAACTTTCCAGCCTGGACTGTTTTAATCTCGAAACTATAGTGTACTCCAAAGATTTAGGTGCAAGTGTATTGTGATTAAATACATAAAACAGAAGACAAATCTTAGAGACAGTAGCTTTCACTGAGGGCACCGCGGTTCAAACGGGTGAGAGTGAGTTCAGCCACATTCTGTCCTCCAAACGTCAACAATAAGCACAAATGAGCTAAAGCCACAGGATGTTTTCTTCAAAGCCGAGGATAACATGTGAAGTGACCAGAGCTGCCAGTGGGACAGACGACGTAGGACTGTAGGGAAACTCCAGGGTCACACTATAAAAAGCAGAGATGACGCGGTGCCTGGGCAGACTATATACAACTCTGTCCATGTAACTGAACTGAGAGTGGCTGCAGTACTCATAGCTGCCAGCAGAGGGGAGTGGGTGTAATGCAGGGAAGTTAGAAAACCCCTCATCACAAATATAGCATCATTGCTGAGATGTGACCCCATGTTACAGTGATGAATGAAGGTAGATGGGAAAGATTTGGCACATAAAAAGTGTTTGTGTAAATATACAGTGATAGCTTCATCTGTTTATACTGTTGTTTTTGTAGCTGTCTCTTGTTGTTTTTGTTGGGAGTGATTTAGACAGTGATTGAGCTTTTGTCTCTTAAGAGCTTACTCATGTTTTGGTCTGTTTTGACTTCACAGCCTTTGTCCCCTCCATTCGAAAGCACACTATCGCACTGGGGCTGTGATCTCTCCATCTCTTGTGGTTTCAACTTTATTCTTAGCCTGTAATTCTGCCTCTTTTTCTCCTTTTATTGCCTTGAGAGATCATGACCTCACTCCACGTACGTTTTTCCCCCCTTGCGCCTGAATGCAAATGTCGAAATGTGATAAATCCCCTTGATTTATAGTCCCTTTGCTGTGACGACCAAAAGAAAACACAAACAGTGCACCTGCATAAGCCGCTATCACTTATTACAGGGCCCTTAACACAGAGGAACGCCTTTGCACACATATATATATGGCCAGCAGCACTTTGCCACACTGAGACTGTCAAAAATACACATTGCTATTATGCACAAAAACATATCCTTGTAAAATATCTCTTCATTGTTTACAGGGGCTTTCCACAGATTCAAAACTATCATGTTTTAGTTGAAAAATAACAAAACATGAACATAAATCTTGACTAAGTAAGTAAGTAAGTAAGTAAGCTTTATTTATATACCGCCTTTCACAGACCAGAGTCACAAAGCGGTTTACAATTGTTATTTTTTTGGGCACTTGTCCTCTCACTCCACACAGAGATGGGAGCGGGGTCGCCGAACAGGAGGCGCATGCCAGACCTATTGTACATATTTTTAGTGGTAGGGGAAACCGGAGTACCCGGAGGAAACCTACGCAGACACGGGGAGAACATGCAAACTCCACTCAGAAAGGCCCTGGTCCGGCCGGGATTCGAACCCAGGACCTTCTTGCTGAGAGGCGAGAGGGCTATCCACTCAGCCACCGTGCCGCCTAAACCACGTTAACATTGCTTGCCTTTGTAGTGAATGCTGTGAATAGCAAATTCTAATCTTCTCTGATCTAAAGTTTGGCTATTTGCAGCCAAGACTAGAACCAACGCGATTATTAAGATTATAGGATTTGCACAATAAAAAAATAGAACTAGAAACGCAACAACAAAAATCATGCACCAGCACTTTCTCATTTCTTTCAGTGAAGGTTTCTATATATACGATAAACTGGTGTCTGGATGGGTCTGATTTTTCCACACTCATCCTTTGCTTCCCTCACTCCCATGTTACACCACTCGTCACGTGATCAGACAGACCAGGAGGCTGCTGAGTCAGACATCTGGTTTAAAAGTGAGATCACTCTTTCAAAGCTGCTTAAAAGTCTGAAGCAAATGTGCGTAATTGAGCTCAGCGGGTTTCATCACCGCCGTGTGATGTGTACAGTTAACCTCAGGTGAAAGAAATGCTCCTGTTTTGGCCTCTGGCACAATGACAGCATCCCAAACGCCTCCCACACACACGCATCTTGTATAGGCTGCGTTAAAGGCCAATTAACCCATTAGCCAGGGCCGGCTCGAAGCGCTTGGTGGCCCTGGACAAGATTGTGGTTGTGGTCCCTCCAAAAAATACATGAGATTAACGCTATTAAATCAGATATTTAGAATGGATGGGGCAATAAGTCATCAGCATTTACAAGTGGTATAGGGGGATTTCTGTCAAGGACTTTTGAGACAATTACACACAATTTTTCATATAGGGCTGCATTTTATATGTCAATTTTCACTTTAATAGATTTTTTGGGGCCTTGGTCTAGTTCACTTATACTGGGGCAGGTATGGTTCATTTGGGGCAATAATCTTTCACAAATCTGTTTCAAAAAAACTCTAGCAGAAACATGTTTTCTTGTTGTTGGCGTTATTGCAGCCACAGGTAAACCATCCTTTCCACAAGTGAACCAAAAATTATCCGGTTAAGGTGAACCAGACCAGCCCTTAGACTTTTTATGCAACAAGCATGATTGATATTATGTTTAGGGCTAAAGCAGGGCTAAAGCAATACTTGCATATGAATACACAGTTTCTTTAGTGGGTTTTAAATGAGGATGGACAAAAGAATGAGACAAAATGTGGGAATAATGGATAATTAGTCCCTTTGAGACGGATTTCATTTCTAATATTTTCCACTTACCAGCAATTCTTGGGTGAGCTTCATGAGGTTTTTGGTCTGGTTTGACAGTTTATCCATTTCGGACGGTCTGCGGTGGTGGGGCACAGGGGACGCAGAGGTGAATACGGGCAGGTGGGCCAACAGCAGCGAAAAGAGCAGCGAGGAGGAGGAGTCCAGGAGCACTGCGGGCGTAAAACAAAACGGAAGCAATTAGAGCCGAGGTGCTGTCATCTCGCCATAATGATAATGACCTGTCAGCTCCAGGGAGAGATATTGCCTCATAATATAAACAATGGCCCCAGACTTGGCACCGCGCTTGCACTGTCAGAGAGGAGTCGTGTTTTCACAAGCTGGATGCAAATCATTACAACATTAAAAAAGGGAGCTTTGACACTGAATATCAGCATAGAAACTTAAGCAAAAGCACTGGAATGAATGCTGCTGATTGTTACACCTGCAACTGGATAGGTACGTGCGTCTGTGGTGGTATAAATTATATAGAGACAGCCAAGTCAAGTCTCAAACAGTGCGCTTATTCATTCTTTTCCTTTCAAGTTCAAATACAAGGTAGCTAAGTATTAAAAAGGAACCCAGAGCTAGTGTTGAAATGATGAAGGCTTGATAATTACAGGTGAAACACAAGAATTACAGCAATAATAACATTGCGGCGTTTCCTAAGGGCTGGCAGAAACTGAGAAGTCATTCAAAAGTTTGTGAACTCTTTGCACTGATTCGCGAGAGGAAAAAGTTGCACAAAACTTATTTCACGCCTTGGAAAAATAAAATAAACATGCATGCTTGAACACTTACATTTCATATTGATCGCGTCCGGAGATGCAGCCAATCCACGCAGAGGAATAAATAACAGATGAAGACAAAAATGTGCCCCGGATATTGTCACGTGTGCTTGAAGTGAAGTTATCTGGACCAGTGAGGATGGCCGAGGTGTGGATGGATGGATGAGGCTCGCAAAAGATGAAATTCAGGTGTAAAAATGAAAAATAAAAGCAGTCAAAGTTGCTGAAGTTGAAGTGAAGTTAGAGCCAGTGTAGTCTGGTTTCTGATAAGTTTGTTAAGTGGAGTTTGGAGAGAGACGCGCGGAGACAGGGATGCGAGTGTCCAATTTTTGCGCGCTGTGAAGTGTTTAGGCTTGTTTAAAAACTTGCTTTATAAAGACCTCGGGCCATGACACATCGGCAGTGACTCACTTCATTCATAAAAAACACACGCACACAAACACGCGCGCAAGCTCTCTCCTCTCCTCCCTGCCCTCCTACTTCCCTCCTCCCATGTCTCCCCTTTGCGAAACTTAGAAAAAATGTTCCGTTGTTTTTTCTTTTTCTTTTTTTCCCCCTCACCACCTCACGCCTATCACCTTCTCTTGTCCTGTGTCCCATGCTATCTCTGCCTGGAACTTTCTCTGACATAGAACGCCTCATTACCTGCGGACAATCTTTACTACTCATCATCATCTCGTCATTGTTTTACGCACAGCACCCGCATGGGGAAATAGAGATTTTAGAGATGAAATATCGTTCTTGAATTTAAGTATTTCATGAGTTAGAATGTGAATGGTTGGATCTTAGAATGAACATGTAGAATGCATCTATGTAGAATCTTGGTGATGAGAAATTCCAAATGGAAAACTGAAGTCTTTACAGTTGAGGTAAGTGTTTATTTATTTTGAGTTCAATATTATCAAGTAGCATTTTCGAACGAATCAGTTCATTCAGAATCAATGATTATAATAGTGTACATAATTCACGGTGCAAACAGTCTTTACTTCTTTTACAAACCATGGCACAGGGGCCAAATGTGTCCCACAACTTAGAGGGACCACTTTTTTCTTGGGTTCATCTCAATGTTGTTTTTGTGGAAGTTTCCACAGTGACATTCCATCTTCATCAGAGACAAGCAGGTGACTTCCCTTGGCTAAGTTATAGGTCATCTGTGGTGGAGAGGAGAGTTCTTAAGCAATAAAATGATCCGTCATGTGTATAACACAGTGAGTAGCTTCTATTCCAAGCAAAGAATAGACCTCATCATAAAAGTTATGCAGTGCACTATGTAAGTGGTGCCACAGCGGTGCCACACTGGTAATTTCAAGTGTGATTTTATGTTGTTCTAAGCCTGAATATAGAGCTGGGACATCTTTGTAAAATGTGGATTTTTTTATTAAGAATGTACAGTTTGTGAACTTCATTGCCCTTCATTCACCAACCCGTCGCTCATCACTGAAATGCCCAACATTCAAAAACGTGGCAAAGCTGATCTCTCATTTCTTTATCATGTTGTTGCACTATATCACAAACATAGTCTGTACAATCACACTATTTATGAAACCTCCCCGAGGCTCTGTCTGTGCCACTGGGCTGATGGCTTTTGCATGGCTCTGATCTGCCCTCTGTTTGTGTTCCAACATGCAGTCCTTGATAAATAATAGGTTTGGACATATATCATTATAATTAACATATATAACTATCATTACACAAGCAACTACCCTGTTTCCATTCTATTACAACAACATTACCCTGATGCAAAGTGCGACCAAATGTTGTAGCAGCAGCATTCACACGAGTCATGTTTTGGTCTGGTCCTTGGTCTAAACTTGGTGAAGTTTTGTTTTGCTCCTGGGTTAGTCCAAGGATGCATGCACAAAAACATCAACTTTGGGATCAATCTGAAACTAAATGAGTAATAAACTGCAACGAGAACCAAACCAAGGCAACAAAAAGACAAGTGTGAACACAGCAGTTGTGGGTTTAATCGCCCTCAACGTTCTGTGGGTGCAAACATAAGTGACCCTGAGTGAATTATGAATGATATTTCTCTTCTTCAGATCCTCTTTTGAGACAGCGGCCTGTTATTTCCACTCACCCACCTCCCTCCTTCTCCAGGGTGAAGGAAAGAGTGAGGAGTGCGATCGGAGAGGTGTTGTCCAGACCAGAAGGGGCCTCCAGAAGTGTTGCATAGAAACAGTCAGTAGACACACTACACTGTACACACCACATTAACACTGATGTCCTTAGGGGGCTGGTCGTCAAGGTACAGGGAGACGCACGTGCCAAACAGTCACACATGCAGCGCATATTGAGCCCCTTCAAAACTGTCCGTGCCAACTTGATTCATTGATTCAATATTTACACCTATTTGACCCATTCAGGTTCAAGGATCGCTTGAACTGTCCATCATCCTTTTGCCCATCTCTCCAGTCGAGGTATAGAATAAAGCATTTTTGGGGTTCCTTTTGGGTGATGTTTCTCTGCTTCGAATGTTCCACCATTAAAACAATATCTGTCTTTCCTTGATTTCACAACGCTCATGTTAAAATATCTTGGATAAAACACACATTCTAACTATCAATTGTATCACTTCTTCATATAGCTGACTTGCAAATTGAATCCAAGTTGATTCAAACCGATACCGAAAAGAATATGAGATTTTCATTTGTAGCAATTTTGCCCTAACAACTTTAATTACAAAGACATAAGCCATTATACAATTTGTTCCAGTTCCAAGCTCAAACAAACAGAGAAACCTATTAAAACCTATGTTAAATCAATAGCTATGTAGAGCCCTGGGTGCCAAGAGTCAGAACATTTTTGGCAACTAAGTAGGAAAATGGAAAAGCGCGCAGCAGCAGCAGCGGTGGAGAATGCTTCCTTACATACAGAAATTCTTTATTGAGTTACATGACATTTACAAGAGGTTGTGTTTCTTCTTTTCCTACGGGGTCACCAGCAGATCACATCAAGTCCCCCCCGAAAGAGCCTGTATGTATCCAGGCTGGGACCGGAAAAAAACTGGCAGAGTGTTCAACTTCCAGGACCTGAAAAGGGCTGAAACTAATTGTCAAGATATAGTAAACCATAACCAGCCAAACCCTAAAAGATTATCTCAGTTACATGTATCTTACTTTTATGAGACTAAATTAAGGCCAAGAACAGACTGAATTACACCAGGGCGGCACTGCAAATGTAACAAATCAGATTAAACCTTGACTAAACCAAACGCTGAACTCTATAAACAAGAGACAAACAAGAAAGAAACTAGACAAGAACTAAAACAGGTCTAAACTAACAATACATCAGTGTAGTGCAATGGAAACAACAATTCTAAAGTTAGATTTAGACACAGAACAATCAGGTAGGACTTGGGACCTGAATTAAACCTATTCTAGTAGAGAAAAACCAAGACCATATCATTCAGGATAGAGGTGGGCTTACACACCAGGCACATACCAACCCAAGTGTCTGAACAGCTTTACATTATACCATTAAATATATGTAATATATCATTGAATTTATTTTTGTCAGACAGCACAGAGTAGCAACACCTTATATAAGATGTGTTTCTGCTACTAGACATCTGAATTTCTTCTATGGGGATCAATAAAGTATCTATCTATCTACTGTATCTATCTATCTATCTATCTATCTATCTATATATATATCTATCTATCTGTCTGTTTTCCTTCCAACCTATCAAACCTAAACTGCTGAACAATTCATGTAAACTGGATATTTACAGAAAGTTTCATTCATGCATGTTTGACTGTCATTGCTTTTCTAACTTTATTTACTCTAATTGACGATTTTCTTTTCGTCAAATAGAGCATCATACGCAAATCCTTCAGCAGCGTGTGAAATCGTGTTTGCTCAGGAAAATCTGCTGATTGCTAACTTCATCAGCGGTCTGACTGGAGCCTGCAGATCTTTTGATGTGACCACATTACTGGGACACGGTGGGACTGAAGTGTGCAGGCGCTTTAATAACATTGTCACAGTATTGAGATTTCAAATGTAGTAAATTAGAGCAGTCACAAGTGGATTGACTGATCACAACATATCGATTATAATTTAGCCTTTGATTCATTGTTATTTGAAGCTCACATAGACTGAAAAATGCTGAAAAGTGTTTTTTAATTAAACAACAATGTGTAACAAGTTGTCTCTATAAAGATTTTCTCTTCATGGCATCACCTGGGCCTTGTTTTGGTCAGATGTATAGAAAAAACCCATATTCACTGAGGTTTTGGGATCTAAACAACTTGTCGATTCATTGAAATATATTTGCAAATGATGCAAAATAATTGTTAATTACAGACTCTTCTCACTTATAGCAGACAGGATCATGTTATGTCTTCTTTAAATACAATCATAACTCAAAGAAAGGTCTCAGGTTAACTCCCAGACTTACCAGGTCTATTCTAAAATTACACTAGACCAGAAGGCTGGCACACTGGTGTAAAACTTCCTGTGGCTCAATCATGTTTATTTGGTGGAAATGCCCCACACTTTCAATTTGTCTACTCCGAGTTTAGTCACCGAGTCCAGCCTGGATCCACTACAACACTATTTGTCATACTATCTATTATGTCTCAGCCAGGCTCCCTTTGGCTCGGGGGATGCCTGGAAAGAGTCCGTCAGGTGCAGTTAAGCATAGCCTTACTGTAGCAAAGGGCAAAAATGACTTTCCAGTTGTCGAGGCAAAGCTACTGTATCTCCACATAGTCATAGACCCTGAAAGACGCACAAGGGGGAAACCAAGGGAAAGGAAGAAAGCGCTTTTTGAGTCTGACTTCGAGATTAGGAGACCCTTTGCAGACGTACACTCATGGTGCGGTTTGAAAATAATTAGTGGTGGGTCTTTAGAGTCAGAATATAGACGTAGAGCTGTGGTGATGGGCCATGCCAAACAAACTAACACCAGCCCAGCAAAGGAGTGGGTGGATGTTGTCACAAAGGGTCATGCTCCGACGGTTTGTATAAGGTTTTGGAAAGAAAATAATGATTATTTGTGATGAGAATTATTTTG